ACCTGGGAGACAGATTCACAGAACAACCTAAATGGAATTTTTAAGACCTGTACACTGGGAATCCAGAAATATTCTCCATTATTTTCTCTTGCCTATGCCAAATTTTCATAGGTATTTACCATAGATACCATAATATTCCAGTCATGTACCTTGGCAACTTTAGGACTTGTGGACTTTAACTCCCAGAATTCCTCAACCAGCCATACTGGCTAAGAAATTCTGGGAGTTGAAGTCCACAAGTCCCAAAGTCCAGAGCAGGGATCCCCAACCCCCGGGCCATGGACTGGCACTGGGCTGTCGCATGCCAGAAACCAATCCATACAAACAAGTGAAGCTCCATCTGCGAGATGCAGGCAACATGCAAAACAATGACCCCTCCGTCCCAAAGGTCCTTTTTCAAGAGGCAACTGGACTTTCTGGTTTTTCCTTGAAGACGTTTCACTTCTCATCCAAGAAGCTTCTTCAGCTCTCCAAGAAGTTTTTTGGATGAGAAGCAAAACGTCTTCAAGGAAAAATCAGAAAGTCCAGTTGCCTCTTGAAAAAGCACCTTTGGGAACCACCATGGCCTGGATGACTGAGAATCCATAGACATTTAATGACCCCTCTGGTCCACGGAAAAACCTTTCTCCATGGAATCAATCCCTGGTGCTCAAAAGATTGGGGGCCACTGCTCTAGAAATTTTGTCCAGATAAACCAGGAGAGACTGAAACAATGTTCTATATGGTAAATTTTGTTCCAACTCTTCTAAAAATAAATTAGCCTTTATTTTTAAAATGTCCCAGGCTATCCAGATACATTTCCTATTCAATATCTATTGGCAGATAGATGTTCTAAAGCTACATACTGTATTCAGTTACAGCATTTTATTTAGGAGTTAGGAGAATTCAACATGAGCAAGAAACCTCAGGGATGAAATTGTTATATGAAATTTTAGAGCATCTTTTAAAAAGCTTAAATATCTTGAATTCTAACTATTTTGCCATTACCTTATATCCATTAATATGTGCTTTATACTGAATATATTTTAGCTGCCTACTGGTCAAAGACCATACTAAAGTATTCATTCATTCTTCCTAGTAATGAATTATGAAGATATACCATTATTATTTTGACTTGAGAACTGTAAGAATCTGAGATCCTAATAGGGAATATATCTTAGAAACTGTTTGGGTTAAACAAGCTATAATGTGTTTCATTTGATTTTGGAAGAAAGTTTGTAAACTATGGTTTTTGGTCTATTGGGTGAGTACACTCAACCAATAGTGGGTTTTTTTAAGTCCAAGCAAACAATGGCTTAGAACCAGGGGTGAAATCTAAATTTTTTTGCTACCAGTTCTGTGGGTGTGACTTGGTGGGCGTGGCCTGATGGTCATGTGACTGGGTGGGCATGGCCAATTTGACGTCACTCATGTCATTCACTGTTAGAGCCAAGAGCTCCACATTCTGACACAGAAGCACATTCTGTCTTTCACAGAATGTCGCAGAAGCCAGGAGCTGCACAAAAGCACATTCTGCCTTTCTGAAGCCCCCAACGCTTTGAGTTTCCCTCTGGCTTGACTGCCCAAGTGAACCTCGGAGCCTTCTCTTGCCCTGCTCTTCATCCCAGAGGGCCGCGCATCCCCCCAATCCTCCATACAAACCGCCCACCCCATTTCTGCAAAGGCAGAGCCTCCCCCTTGCAGGGCGATCCAAAGAGGGGAGGGGGATGCTGCAGAAAAAGCCGCCTTCCACCCGGGCCTCTTCCTGCAGCCAAATGTGCCCAGCTGGGCGTGCCCTTTCCTCAAATGGGCTGTGCATGGGGCACTTGGAGAGAGAGCAAATAAGAGAACTCTCCAACTTCTGTTTTTATGTATGTGTATGAGGGAGGGAGGGAGCGATCTGAAGCCAAGGCATCCAAACTTCTGGCAGCGGCGGGGGTGGCTTCTGAGCAGCCCTGAGTCAGCCAGCTCCACCTGACCTACTCCGAGTCTCAGGGAGTAGGTCAGGTGCTAGCTCCTTCCCCGCAGCCCTGCCATGCTTGCCTGCCTTCCACGTGGGCTTCCGCTTGCCTGCCTTCGCAAGCTGGCCACCGGGACACAGGAAGGCAGTGTGGAAGGCAGGCAAGCATGGCATGGCAGGACTGTGGGCCGTGGACCGGTTCGGGGGCGTGGCCGGCCAGCCAGCCATTGTTCCCGGTTCGGCAAACCAGCCCCAATCTCTGCTACCTATTCGCCCGAGCCGGTCCGAACCAGGAGCATTTCATCCCTGCTTAGAACAATATATAAATCAGAACATTAATTTAAATATGACAATGTTTTGATGATCCTAAGGAATCAGAACTGCACTAAAAAGGTGATGTTTCAGAGAAAGTGGAACAGGTTAGGATTTTTTTAGGGAATTTTTCCCCCCCTTAAACTGTATTATGCCTCTATTAGAAGTCACACATCAATTTTCTGTGCTTGTCTCACAATATGATAAGTTGCACTGACACCAACGTTTAATTAAAGGAAGGTTTAGGGAAGGCAGAAAAAAAAAGACACGTTGTCCACAAGGACAGGGCACAGGTGCTCACACCTTTGCGCATGCTGCCTCTTCAGCAGATCAAGTGAGCAGCATGGCATCAATCTTTGTGTTACTAAATGTTTCCATTCATAGATACAGCCACATAGCTACTGCTACCATTGGAATGGGGGAGTGAAAAAAGTACACACAAAGGAGTTTCATGCCAGATTTTGCTCACATTTTTAAGTGAAGAAAAACATTTGTAGACTCAATGCACATTATCATTATGATAAAAATAAGTTGGTTGGTATTCAAAGTTGCCGGTTTGTATTCCTCCTCTCTTATCCCATTACATTGTTAACATTTAATAACAGGAACATCTATCACCTGTACATATGTAGAAATAATTATGTAAGGCTTATGGTAGAATTAAATAGTATGTCAAAGAACAACACATATACATATATGTGGATATAGGATGTTTTGCAGTTAAGATTCTGCCACTGTACAAATTTGTGGTTCATTCACAGTCAGTAACTTAATATGTGTACGTTACAGACACAGACATGCAGAACATTTTCTCACTATTTCAGCTGGCAATGAAGTTGGGACATTCACCAGTTTTAATTATGCCATCCTTCATAATGTCTTTACCAATAACATATCTCGTTTATTTCCAGTAACTGGGAAGCCACAATATTTACATGCTTCCTAGTACCTCCAGAATAACTGTACCACCTGCAAAGAGTTGTGGAGAAAACTAAACATAAAATTTCCATTAAATGAGACTTATATCAGATTAGACAAATATAAATCAGTGCTTCAGGAGTAACTTTGAAATGCAAGGAAATTCAAAATGCTAATCAAGAACAATTAGAAACAAGAAGCTATTAAGAATCATTTGCTAAAAGTCAGTATCCTCATTACAGGGACTTTCAACTACAAGTAGTTGTACGCTACTACATAAAACTACTTACTGTTGTATTGAGCATGGAGGGATTTATACCTCTCTGTCACCCTAACTTAAGCTATGTACCATATGACAATTCCTGGGCTTTTCTTTGGAAAAAAAAGGTCAAAATAAGAAAGCAACATATAGAATTATCTGATTGTTCATTTCAACTTTTTAAAAACACCCTTGCCATTAAAGTATTCTGATGATCAGGGAAGCAAAATTTTACATATGTAAGATAAAATAAACATGTATAAATTTATAGTATAAATAGTATAGTATAAATTTATCATCATTTATAACAAAAACGAACTTAAAGAAAAATGTAAGCATATATAAACTGAAAGATGTACAAACAGAAAAAACAATTTCTACCAGTATTGATTTCCAATTAGTTCAGTCTTAAGTGGACACTTATCACCTCTCCTATGAAAATTACATATATGATTCCATAATACAGTTCATAGCACACAGTCCCCTTTGTGATAGTTTCTTCAGACTGTTTTGGAATACATAGTCAAGTGGATGTGTGTTTTTACTGACGGGGACTGAACACTTAACTATTCCGAACGATGACAAGAATATTCACATATACTTCGAACACCGATCTGGAAAATTATTTGTCATTTCTCCCTTTTCGGTAATGCATTTCATTCTTATTAAACGGTCCCACGCTATAAAGAGTTACTTATAAATTACATGAGATGCAGCTCCCATTCTCTCACGACGCTGAAACGATCTCCAGAACAGCCCGTCTAAACTACCAGTTCCAACGTATGCCTTTCGTCTTTCTAGCTTTATTTACCATATAAGGATGAGGCAACAAAAACAGTATACTCGGGAGCACGCAGACGACACGCACGGAGAAACCCAAAGCCCTCGCCAAGGCGAACAACCCCCCCCCCCATTTTAACTAAATAAAAGAGCAATAGCACGGGGCTAACTTCTTGTAAGCGACCTGCCTCCAGAAAGAAGCCTGGCTGGCGAGGTAACAGGGACACGAGCGGGTAAGGGAAGCCCCGCGGGGATACTCTCTTCTAGATTTCCTGTTGTCTTTTCGCCTCCTGAAAGATAGGCGAGGAGTCCAAACGTGGCCAAGTTTCCCGGCCATCTGCAGTTTGGAGAAGTCCGGCCGCTGTCAAGAGTCTAAACCTCAGCGCTCTTGATCTAACCGGCGTTTTCCGACCGCATCTTTCGCTGAGGGAGACCTGCCCGTCTGCCTGCCTGCCTGCCTGCCTGCCTGCCTGCCAGCATCCGCGCATCCCCTCGGCTCCCGCGCGCACTTCGCCTGCCGAGCCGGGAGGTCGGCAGCAACCAAAGGCACAAAGGAGAAGGCGAGATACCTTCCCCAGAGCAAGCCCGGCAGCGCCTGGTCCCTTTAACAGCCCCAGACCTTAACTTGGGCCTCCCCTCACTTTGCCCGGCACTTAGTTGCTAGCTGTCTAGGTCGTCGTCCTGGAGTAGCAACTCCTGTCTGCCTTGGCGGGGAGCGACAGCCGCATCCCGCCGCCAGGCAAAGGCTGGAGAAGGGAAAAAAAAAAAACCCGCCAGGCTGTCCGCACTCACCTTCCCTCCGAAAGCCCCTCCATCTCACCCGCCCCAGGGCGGAGGGCTGCCTTTCGCAGAGCAGCTGAAGACCCTCGCAGCCGCCTCCGCCTCCTCCTCCCTTCAGTCTGTCTCCTGCGCGCGGAGGCTGCGTCTGCTGCTCCCGGCTCCTCCGCCCCCTCCCGTCCCTCCCCGGCTGCTGCCCGGCTGCAGCTAGTCTGGCTCTTCGTGACAGCAGGCAGCAGACCCGGAGCCGCGGGAAGAAAGGAGCGGGGCCGCGGGAGGGAGGGAGGGAGGGAGGGAGGGGGGGGGAAGGGAGGACGAGCTTCCTGCCCAGCCCCTCGCGCGCCTATTCGCAGCCTCTACTGACACCTGCAGGGTCGGATGTGCAAAGGAGCCGGACCGGCCTCTGCCCGCCAACTGGCCCAGCGGCGAGGGAAGAAAAGTTATTCTCCCTCGGGGGCTTGCCTGGGTTTTTCACAGTTTGCAGGGCCTCTTCTTTGGTCACATTCCGGCGCAATTCCCTTTCGACAGAAGGGCAACCAACCCGGTGCTCTGCCGCTCTGGTGCAAACTTCTCTCCAGGCTTGTCGACGCTGCAGATCTGTTTTATTCGGGGAGCTGCTTCTTCCCACTCTCCCCGCCCCCCCCGGAAAAAAAATCCCCTGTCAAAAGGGAAGGCCGTGACTTGGCCGTAGTTCATTAAGCCTCTTTTAAGTTCGCCTCGGCATCGGCCAATGTAGAAGCGAAGACGCGGGAGGGGATCCAGTTTCAAAGTCAATCCGCCCCCCCCCTTCGGCTGGAGGCTGAGAATTTCTTGGGGAAATACATTGGGGAACAAAATCTGTTGAAGGAACCAGCTTCCAAACTTCCACGTTAGAAGCGGCTCTAAGCGCCTTCACCGAAAGCAGATAAATGCCTCGCTTCAGTTTCGACCTTCTTGCTGTGGGGCACTTTGGGGAGGCGATCGTGCATGCAAGTCCTCCTCGGCTCTTCCAGCCTACCTCGTTGTACTTTAAAAAAAGGACCGTATGGAGAACGTTATCCAATTGCTCATATAGGACATCGCCAAATAAGGCACTCCGTAAAACTTTGCCCATCCCGCAAGAGAAAAAAGGCATTGTAGCTCCAAAAGAAGCCGTTCAAATGCACATTTCTAGAGTTAGGGATGACCTTCACTGAGAGTAACTTTCTACAATTGCATGTTCCAAACTTGAATGCTCCAGGTGTGTTTTGATTTCAATTCATACAATCCCCAGCCAGCACAACCATAAACAGTACATGTTCAACCCAGCAAACTACTTTCACCTTCTTCATTGCAGTGAAATAAAACAACCTAGTTTAGATAATAATAAACTATATTTAGAATGCTCTTTATTAGCCTTTGTTACCTATTAAATAAAACTAACCTTATTTCCACTGATCCTCTCATTTGTAGGGAACTCAACTGCAAAAATCTATTATATGTACCCTAGACCAGAATGTTGGGTCTCTTCACAAGATAAAAGACCAACAATATGTAAACATACTACCAAAAAACGGACATAATTTCCAACCCAAAGCCGGTCCATCTAGTATCCTAATTTAAAGCTAGGGGGAAACAAGTTTTTTTAAAAATCACTCAAAGGTGGGCATTTACTTCATATCACTGATTACAGAATTCTTGTATTGCTGTCATTTAGGTTAGGCTTCCAAGCCAAGTAAAATTTTGGCTATGCTGCTCAAACATTGTAGGAATTAGAGCAGCAAACACGTTGGTGATACTAACCTAGCATAAAATGAACTATTGAGATGAGATGCATGGACAAGTTAGCAATAATACTGTAGAGAAATGGTTTGCCACTGCCTTCTTCTAGGATGCTGTTTAGCTTTCCAGTCAACTACTCCAGTCAAGTCCTGAAAGTCATAAATTCACTTACTAACCAGACTTAAGTTAGTCTCTGAGACCAGCCAGATGCTGCCATCTACTGAAACCAGCTTCTAGTAGATTACACTAAAGAAATGTAGAGACATCAAAGATTCTAACTCGGTAAATTAAGTTCTTAATAAGTTTTATTTAGGCTAGATTGCTGACCTGTGATAAAAAAAATAGAATTTTACTAAGAAAGCTCTTCTTCAGTATAGAAAAAAAAGACAGAGTTATTTCTACTTGTCATCGCTTTTATGAATGCTAGAAAGGTTACTGATTACCAACACATTGTATAATACAACAAAAATGCTATAGATCTTCCTAATATGTTAAATGCAACCTAAGAACTGTTACTACTGTTTCCAGCTTTGAGAGGTACAAAGCGAGGAGCATAGAAGGATTATTTGATCTAGTTGGAAGTCCAGTCAGAATGGCCTGAACTGGTGCCATTGCAGTGATGCTCAGATCCAGAGGAAGAACTGGAAAGACTTCTGTTATATTCTACCTCAATATAATATGGAGAAATTACTTGCAAAATGTGTGTTTTTTGCTGGTACTGTACTATGATGATGTTAGCCATTATAGTGCTCTAGAGTTCCATTGATGTTCAGGACTGGTCAGAAAGGTTCAAATAAAACACCTTGCCACTATTTTGCATTACCTTGCCTCAGGTCAGAATTTGGGGGCTTGGCTGCATCCCATAAGCTCTTATAAAAATATTCATCACCAGGAATAAAGGAAGTATCTTGTCAATTATTGACACAATCCTTCATGTATACTACATGATTTTTAAAAATTCTTTATTGAATACATAATTTATTCTTCCCAGAACGATTACTTAAACAATGGTTACATGTACAGCAATTCTAAATGAAGGACACAAATTTACAAGATGGTATGAACATTTGGAATGTTAAGAACATACTATGGGTAGCTACTCGATTAAAATGATATACCGTACATGGCGGGGTATAATACATATTTCCAACCCATCCTCCAGACTTATAAGACTGCTCCTCACTAATAAGATTCTCACCATGTCAGATGACATAGGGAGACTGATGGGTCCCAAGTGCTTACTGCTTTTAATAAAAGCAGTTAATAGTCTCATCTTCATGTGGCAATTAATTGGAAGATGCAGTCGTTTTTCAGTCTAGAAAAATATAGAAAAGTTCTGTAAACGAGTGAGTACAATCAAGGTGATGTTAAATGTTGACACGACTTTAATATTAATACAATAAAAACACCAAAGGAATGTTAATCAAAGAAGGAGCAATGAACTTATCTTACCTAATATATTGTCTTTTATCTTATTACATTATTATACCAAATAACCTGCACTGCTTTTTTAAAAGTTACTACACTATAAACTTATTCTAGTACTGAATAGACTGCAAGTAAGATAATAATTACAAAAAGATAGTTGAATAGTATATTTTTAAAAAATTGAAAGTGCTATCCTTATTATAGTCAACTAGAAAACAGAAGTAGCAACATTTCTATTACTGTCTGAATTTCTAATTAGATTGTAGGCAGTAACAGCTAGTTCCCAACTCAGTTCACTTTTTCAAATGATGGGATTCTTTCACCAAAGCACTGATAAATATTCACCAGCTATGCTTTGACAGGCCATTATACATACTAAGGAGTACAGATAATTTATCTACATGTGATTTGAGTGATTAAAATGTCAGATTTTGTGTTGGGTATTGTGTGACTGTTAGGAGCAGGGCTTGTGCCCAACATGAGTAATTTGCTAAGATGGCATGATAAGCTGCCTAAGGCATTTTGGAAGTTGAGAGTAAACAAAATGGGTTTTAATACACTTGTAAGAGGGCACTTCAGTTTAAGTCTCTCTCTCTCTCTCCCACCCAGCTCTCCCACCCTTTGTCTTTTAACTATTAAGTGGATAAATGGAACTCCTGTAGTCTTTTGTCTGTGTAAACCATATCAAAGTACAAAAGATTAGAAAACCCAAAGGAATTTTGAAGCCTATTCACACTACTGCATTTAAAGCGTGGGTGGTTCTAAAGTTCAAATGGCGCTTGTCACCAGGAGCTAAAAAAAGTAATAATAAAATAAAACAATTTGAAATAACAACAGAGGCACTTTTTAAAAGGCAGCTTTTGCACTGAAAATATATGAAATTGAAACCTTGCAAATGCCATTTGTGGAAACGTTTGGCTCAGAATGCAGGTAATTTGGACAGAATGCAGCAAATATAATATTATATATGAGAAGGCCCTGTAGTCTGTCTGGCTGCTGAACTTCCATATTTTGCAAAGCTTTCAGAAAAGTAGGTATAATCTATTAAGAAAATAAATCAAGATTAATTAACATTAAATTGTGGCAAAGAACTACATCAGTGTTTTTCAAACTTGACAACTGTTAAGATACCGTATGTGCACTTTAACTCTTAGAATTCTCCAGCCAGCATACTGGCAAAAATAAAATAATTCTATTTTTTTTTAACATTAAGATTCGTTTAATGCTTTGAAAAGTCTCTGACGATCCCAGCTGAGTTGCCTGATCATCAGAGGCATTTTTTAAAAAGCATTAGAAAAAATGCTTTGAAAAGTTTTTTTTTAAAAAAAGTTGGCCACGCCCACCCAGTCACATTACCCCCTCCTCATCAAGCCATGCCCACGCCCTCCGGTAGTAACAAATTTTACATTTCACCCCTGCTAATGCCCATTGTATCATTCCTATTGTTACATGATTTAATTTGGATGCTTGACAGCTGACTCCCATTTATGACAGTTGCAGTGTCCCAGAGTCATGTGAGCCCCTTTAATGATCTACTGACAAGAAAACTCAATGGGGAAACCAGATTCACTTAACAATCATGTTACCAATTTAACAACTGCAGTAATTCACTTAACAATTTTGTCAAAAAAAGTCGTAAAATGGGACAAAATTGACTTAATAAATTGTTCACTTAACATGAATTTTGGGCTCAATTGTGGTTGTACGTTGAAGACTACCTGCACAGTACATGCATTGTGTTACGAGCAAGATGATCCTAGCTATTTATGAGTTTTGCTATGCACTGCTGGTTTGTATATTGTTATGGCAACCTCCTGCACTTCAAAATTTACAAGTACTCCACAACTGGGCTCCATTCAGGTACAGGTGGCTCCCACTTAGTGGGAAATATTTCAAATGCACTTCAGACATTAGTAAGAGCACTGAGGAAATTATTTGCTACAAATATGAACAAATGTTATCTGTTTCTCTTATTGACACACCTAGAGAAAATAGTTTAAATTTATCTGAATGATGCATAAGTACTTTGTAATGCTTTATTAATTACATAAGGGTATGTATTAATCTGTCTGTGGGAATTTTTCATTGAAAACTTTTATTTAAGTTGCCTTTCATTCAAATAAGTAAGATGAGAGATAGCAGTCTTTAAATGCATATAAGCAAATGGACATTTCTTTCTGGTAAATGATAACTGCTAAACTACAAAAGAACAGGTACTCTGTGCCCAGTGATGAGGCTCTAATCATTCTATTCTGTCTATGCAATGTCCATAGCCCACAAACAAGAGGAAAATATTCAGGAGGGGGAAAAAATCTGAACCAAAAAGAAATTGATGTTTCTCATTAAAGGCTTGGATGGATTTTCCAAGGAAACTTTTGTAAAAATGCATTTTAGGGACTTCATTTAGTACAAATATTCCTTGTGGGTGTTATAAAACTATTCCTAACATTTCCTGGCATAAATCTTACATGTTCTGAAAGGATTGTATTATCTGGTGAATGTACTATCTAGCAATACAAAATAAGCATTTGAATATTTCTAGCGAGTATCAAGCAAGTTACAGAGAACACCCAACGATCTCTTTCACAAACATCTTGTTCCAGCTGTAACAGACCTTTTGATAAAAGTTTCTTTAACTTTTTTCTCCTCCTAAACACTATTTACTCCCCTATTCTCAGTTCTTTGTAGCCTTCTAATCTCTTTTTATTTCTCTGACACAAACACAATACTCCATGACATACTGGACAGCTTTGACTGGTGACAGAATGTTCACAAAGAGAGAGAATTCTATGCAGGATGAGTATTACCTACCGCTACCCTATAGGACATGTGAAAGGAAGGTAAGAAAGGAAGTAGCCTAGTAACCCTCCTGCTGATTTTATTTCATTACAGAGGACTATTTTCTTACAATTACTTACCTAATGAACCTACTGTTTATTAAAGACTCAATATGGCCCTCAGCATTCCAATTTGGAAATCATACAAATTAACACAAAGAGTTTGAAGACTTGATTCCCAAGTATGTTCCGGAGAGCTCCTTCCAACTTCACAGTGTCTTTGCCAGAGAACTTTCAAGTTTCCTCAAGGAACAAAAGGACATTTCCAGTGCTATTAGTGCAGCTAAAATCCACACAAGCTCTTTATTGAAGAGGAAAAAAAATCAGAGTTATATAACTACCTCATACTCATATTATGGATCGGGAAAGAAGAAAAAAAGAGGTCATAGCTATGTACTTTTTGGAGTTTATATTACTGGTTGATCTCTTATAACACAATGCAGAGATGGGTATTATGAAGGCATGAGTCTCAAGCATCTGGAGGTACTCCAAAGTTGCCTACCAAAGATAGAAAATTATCTCCAGCGCTATCTTCTGCACACCTCTCAGAAATAAAATTCACAAAATTCAACAGGGCTTAATATATCTGATTATAAAAGTTTAGCTTTACATTTGATGGTTTTAAAAGCCATCTAAAATGTTTCCAAACAGATCACCAGAATGTTGGAAATGTAAACAGACACAGGGAACATATTATTAAATGTGGTGGACATGCCCAATAGCAAAAAAATACTGAATAAGGATAAGAAAGTGGCTAGAGGAAATAGTAAAACAACAAATAGAGCTAAAACCAGAGATATTCTTATTAGGCATATTAACAAGGAACTACAATTTAAAAACCCAATATTTAATATTGCATGTAATGACAGCGGCTAGAATTGTTTACGTGCAAAATTGGAAAAATGGAAATAAACCAGCTGAAGAAATGGTGATAAAGAAAATATTAGACTGCGCAGAGATGGATAGGCTGACAATGGAAATAAAAGATAAAGGAGAAACGGAATACTATTTGATTTGGAATGCATGGTATAACTGGTTAGATAGTAGATGCAAAGATTAGGAAATCAACAAGAAAAGATGGATAACAAACTAAAAGATAAAGAATGTATAGTATTATAGTAAGTTGTTATAAAATGTAGAATGTAAAAAAAAAAATAACAACTATATAGTGTATTTATAATAGTATATATAATATGAATGTATACCGGTACAGGAGAGTTATAAAGATAGGAATTATGATGTAAAGTGAAGAAAATGGCTAATAAAAAATTTAAATACAAAAAAAAAAAAAAAAAGAGAGAGAGAGAGAGAGAGAGAGAGAGAGAGAGACCCTACTCCATCCCAAAGTTAGTACTTTGGGTAACGAGATGCCTGTTTTATTTATGAGTGTATATAAATGAGTGCACGGGAGTTGCTGGCATCTTTCAGTGATCAGTAACTTTAATTCAAGATTGTTGGTTTAAGAATTCAATTGATACCTCCGATGAGATCCTGGAGGAGGGGGCTAACTTAGGTAATAAATAATAAGCTTTGAGTAACAACAAAAAAAAAAAAACACCATCTAAAAATAAGATTATAGTTTCTATCAGAGTGCAAACCTGAACACACTTACAATGGTTCTTTTTGTGGCTCTTAGTTTTTCTGTCATGCAAAGAAGCAGATTCTCAAACAGCTGCATAGAGGTAGCAGTCCTTGGCAGGGTGGCCTAATACTCTCCTCTTTGTTCCCCATATTGAAGCCAGTGTTCTCCACTGCACTTAAATCCTTCAGGTTTACTTAGGAGACACCTGGCTGAGATGCTGTTGCAGTCAGACAGAGATTGGAATATGCCTTCACTCCCTGACATGTTGTTATCTCAACAAACTGTTTAGTGCTGCTACTCAAAGCAGAAATAGTTGGTTATCTTCTGGTTTGATATCCTAGAAGGTCTGTTTTTAATTGCTTGGATGGCACCCAAGAAAGTCCTGCCATCATCTTCCCCTCCAAGGCAACACACAGAAACTGAGAAGAATATAATGTCTGTTCTTACAGAGGTGAACATGCAAGCTACTGTTAATTCCATACTGTAAGTAGCAGACTGGGTGCTGCTGAAAATAGTATCTGGGCAGGAAGATTGTGGGAAACCTGCTAATATATCTATAGCTTATTTAATAAAATTCTAGTAGCACTTCTAGGAAACATAATACATATAAACTGCAGCTAGATCCAAACAGAACAATCAAACAGAGATTTCTTACAATCTGTATATCCATAGTAGAGACTGTAGTACCAGTACTCATTACTACAATAGTCAATGATCTTTTATATAGTATTGACTGCCAAGAGTTTCAACACAGGTCACACAATTAATTTACTGTTTTCAATCAACTGGAATCAAGTGGTCTACTTGGAACCATTATATAATACTCAACTTCTGGACAGATTTAATCTTCATTTGTGAAAGTATCCAGAACAATTTGCCTGCCCTTGAGACAGTTACTTTATTATAAATGCTTTGTAACAATGTTATCATTTTCAGTCCATCTGAAAGAAATGATTTAAGTGAAAACATTCACAGAACCTTTGCCACTTTTAAACATACAAATTCCAATTCAATCTTCCAATTCAAACATTCCTAGATGAGGTTTAATAACACCATTGCCATCTGGCCTAAGACCATATTATGGGAACTTGTACTGCAATAATTAGCAAATCAGACAACTTCAATAATACAGTTGAAAGTTATAGAGTTTGATTTTATTAGATACGAAATATTCATGTAGGAAATATAAAGGAGAGTTAGCAATAAACACAATAAAAGGGAAAATATTTAAAGAAAGCTTTATTTTTTTAAAAAAAATGAATTCATACATTGTCATTTGAGAAATCATAATCAAAACAAAGGTTACTTACATTGCTGCTTTCAACAGCAAAAGTGCACTGGTTCCATGATAACATACATTAATAAATTTACTTTATTAAAATTTACAAATATTTGAGTTACCTATACATTTATTTTGTATACAAAAATGGAAATTTAATAATTTAGTCATAGTCTGCATGGTTAACAACATATTTAACTATTTTTCTGCCAAACCCTCACCAATTAGTTGAATAGTAAGAGTTCCACTTTTATCTGTCTCAACCACCAATAAGCATTTGAAAATGCCTGGGGACCTTGGTTTGAATTGGACTGGTAAATTGCAGTAGTGGTGACATCTGTGAGAAAAAATGTATAAGAATTAGATTAGTATTTAACAGACTTCTTCAACTTATTTAGATTGAGAAAAAGAAAGTTCTGGAGCTCTATTACCAGCAGAGTATTTTCTTATCATAATAGTATATTACAGCTTATCAGCTGGTGTGCTATTCTGGAGAGGAAACAGAAACTGTCTATATAGATTACATTCTTAGTTGTTTACAAGTAGTCCTTAAGGCATGAGGCGGTTGGAACCAGGATTGCCATCACTGAACAATATGGTTGTAAAGAGTGTTGTCATGTGATTGCTAACTCTTAGTGATAACTGCAGACCCAGTTGCTGTTGTAACTCCAGGACACACAAACTGTTGTGTGAGAAGCAGTGGGAACCTGAGGTAAAGACTGTGGGGTTGCTGCAGGGAGGAGGGGGGAGGTGTAGGCTGTGCATAGGCAAAAGGAGGCTGAATAAAAAAGGGCACCATGCAATACCATAGGAATGATGTGGGGCCAGAGAAGGAGGCCATTATGCCAGATGAAAGGCGGCCAGAGGAAAGAGGGAGCCATGCAAATACAGGGAAGATGGGGGAAGCAGGACACCTCACTATATAAATGGAGGGAGGCTAGGGGCACCTACCGGAGTGACTTTCAACTTTCCCTGCTGGCTTCTGCATTGATTTTGTTTGCGGGTTAGACAGCAGGAAAGGCACAAATGGCAATTATATGACCACAGGGTGCTACAACTTTCAAAAGTACGAGCTAGTTACAAAGCACCATTATCGCAGTTAGAATGGTGCAATGGCTTGAATTTTTCAGATTAGTTGTAAGTGCCACTCATTCAATGATGTCACAACTTAGAACTGTGACTGAACAAGTGATTTTTAAGCAAGGACTACCCCCTAGTTCATAATGACAACAATTTCTTCTAAAACATCAACACTATTCAAGACAATCTTACATGTCTGACAAGAACTGAACTGTTGTGGCACAGTGGTTAGAATGCAGTATTGCAGGCTAATTCTGCTAACTGCCAGGTGTTCGATCCTCACTGGCTCAAGGTTGACTCAGCTTTCCATCTTCCAAGGTTGGTAAAATGAGGTCCCAGATTGTTGAGGGCAATATGCTGACTCTATAAACCGCTTAGAGAGGGCTATAAAGCACCGTGAAGCGGTATATAAACCTAAGTGCTATTGCTAAATAAGGGTGCCTAGGGCAATCAAATAAGCTAAAAAGCAACTGTAATACCTAATACAGAGTAGGCAATTTGTGGGTCACAAGTGGCACCAAACATATTCCCAGGCTGTCCTGCCAAATTTTGGCAGCAAACTTTCCCATTTATCAATGCTTCAGTTCCATATACTCTGTGACATTGTTATACACCAGGTATATTCATCTGCTGCTCTCAGTGGCCCAAATATTTATTTTAAAAATGTGAATCTATGAATGGAAAAGGATTTCTTGCTGCTGCTGTAGGCTATAGGTAATCAGTATTTTCACTCCAAAGTTTAATATAGAAACATTTAAATGCATTCACACTCACTAATGTACATACTGTATAACTAGTCCTCTGTGCTCCTCCCTCCCAGTGACTTAAGTAGGAGCACAAGAATGAAGAATGAAACAGAATAACAACTCACTTCACAAGTTGTTCTTGTGGGGAAAATAGGAGGAAAAGGGTAGGTTGGATATATTCATTGCCTTGAGTTATTATAAAAATAATAAAAATGAGATATGAATAAATATTGTGAATCTGGTAGATGTACATTAGTGAAGTGCCTGCGGAACACGACAACTAGTCATAAAGCTGACCTGCCCGGCATGCAGTCACATGATTGAGGGGCAGTGTATCCATTTATTAAGGCTGGGGATACTGTCAAACCCAGCTCAAGAACCACATAGAAAAATCCAGCCAAAATTCAGTTCTTTATTTGTTCACACCAGAATCTTGCCAGATTACCCTATATTACCCTCACCATAATGGATTTACCTTGAGACATTATAGGAAGTGGCTGTCCTAACTCTCTGTCTCTGATCCAGATACAAGTTGTGTTGTTTTTTGTCTTGTCCCTCTCCTTGGAATGTACGTTCCCTTCCTGCAAAACTGCTGCTTCAATGTAGTTCATTGTACCACCTCTCCCTCTGTAGGCACAATCATCCTATCTGCTTCATGGGCCATAAAGTAATTGTTCCATGGCCATCTTAACCTCAAACAGTCATAAAATGACCGATTATAAAGAAAGGAGTATCTGTATGCCTCCTACCAACTGTCTTAAGAAAAAAAATAAATGTTCACTTACCTCAAATTATAATGGGAATGCTTGATATAAAAAGGGTCTCCAGGACTTCTAAAGTTGAGCTGTAATTTAATAATTGTTTAAAATATTTGAGTTATTTTATTCACTACCCAGCAAGTATATAATCCCTCATGAGCCATAAATTTCAATTAAAACAGCCATATGCAGGTTCCAGGGAGAAAAAAATATATAATAGCTAAACTTGGCCTACAAATTATGATACATATTTCAATATTAGGATTTACATTTAATATGGTTTCCGATTTTAATAATTATTACTTTCTACTGGAAAGTAAATTAGCAAAAGACAATGACTAAAATAACTTTATCACCTTCAGAGCGCTCCATGGCTTAGGACCTGGCTATTTGCGGGACCGCCTGCTACCACCAATAGCCTCCCACCGACCAGTACGCTCCCATAGAGAGGGGCTCCTCCGGGTGCCGTCGGCCAAACAATGTAGACTGGCGGGCCCCAGGGGGAGAGCCTTCTCTGTGGGGGCACCTACTATCTGGAATGAGCTCCCCCCCGAGATACGGAGGATTCCGGATCTGCGTACCTTCCGTCACGCGCTTAAGACGTTCCTATTCCATCAAGCTGGCCTGACCTGAACTTTTCCTTTTTTTAAATGGGAATTTTAAATTTGGTTTTAAATTATTGGGGTTTTAAAATGGTTCAGCCAAATTTATTTAATTTGTTTTATCTCCATTTTAAATTTTGTATTTATATGTTTTATTTTATGGCTGTTCACCGCCCTGAGTCCTTCGGGAGTAGGGCGGTATACAAATTTAATAAAATGAAATGAAATGAATGAACTTTAACATGAGAACAAGTATTAAGTGTTAGGTATGTTGGTGTGAAGATTTATCAAATGCAACTTTAAACAATGCTTAGAAGTCAATATACCTGGCAGGAAGACATAGAATAATTCTTCATGCTGATTTTCAATGTACTTGATTCGCCAACCTTAGTTGCAGGAAATGTATAGACATCTTCTTGGGCATATACCCCTTTCCTGGTTTAAAAAAAAAGAAAAAATGCTACTAAAAATAATCCTCTGTTTTAATTGGTATTTGTAATTGAGAAGTTACTTACAAAATGTCTTTTATAAGACCAATCCATGTCACTATTTTATTCTTAAGAAACATCTGAATTATTTTTCATGCTCGCAAAATAAACTGCATTTTTCCCCAATCTTTGAACAATACTAAGATGTTTAGTTGAGTAAAGAGTATTTAGATGTAGACTACTTCATAGTTTTGCATCTTGTGTTTGTTAAGGGCTCTGAATGTAAAATATTGTTGTTTCTCATAAGAAGTTTGATCTTTATTTGGGTAAATTTATTTCCTGGGGGAAAAAATCAGTTTGGGATTACACTTAATAAGCTTTGATTTTTAGAGAAGCATGACTGAAAAGCACCACTTATATTTTATCATCATGCTCAGCCGTATTGAATCATGGTTTGTAAAATAACCATGTATTAGCTTGGCTTGTACATAATGTTATACCATAAATCAGGATTCATGGATCAAAATAATAGATCACCCATCACACTAAAAATCAAATCCTTGTACAAGGCAAATCTATGGCCTTGATTTTATTACATAGCAGTTTGTAGATCTCATAAAATACTAAATAGAATGTATATTTAAAACATTGAGAATTTACTTTATTTAGAATGAATATGGAGAAATGTATTTTATAAATCATCCAATTTACATACCATATGTTGTGATCAAATATACTGAGGTATTCTCTCCTTTGTGATACATCTCGAATATTGATTTTTACCAATGATGATGTGGATACTTTGTTTTTTAACTGTTTACTGCTTAGGATACTCTGTTACAATATATAAATTACAAAACGTAACTAATTAGAGAAGTGCTATGCTTTTTATCCATTAATTATGCAGAAACGAATCAACCAACTAATTTTATTCAACAGAAATTAAGTAAACCAAAATTACTTCTTAAAGCTGATACTTTCATACTAAGGTTAGTATCATTATATTTGCTAGAGTGTAGGAAAAGTTGTAAAAGGCAAGTGCTAGTATTTTATCAAATGCTGGTATTTTACAAAGTATATAACATAAGATTTCACAAAAATATTCTATTTAAATAGTTCATTTTAAGGCTTTAATCAGAAAGCAATTATACATAAACACACAAATTGTTTACCATAGGGGCGTTTTTTTTCTTCTTCAATTCTATGTAAAAGGAATGTTATAATTATGACTCTAAACAAAAAATAACTAAATCATTCATATTCTTACCATTCCACAAAACTGAAGTCTATATTTGTCTGTCAAATGAGGCTCATGCAATGGGTGACACTCAAGATCCCAAAACTGAGAATAGTGCCCTTTGTCTCTAGGTAGAAACGACACTATAATCTATCAAAAAAATTAGAAAATCATGACTGTATGACTATTTGACCAAACTTGATTGAATTAATAGAATGAACTATATTCGAACGTTATGACATGATTTTATTTAAAAAAAAAAAAACACATTGCAAAACTTAGTTTAAATATGTTCATCCAAGAACTATGGGTGGCTTAGAAATATAATTAATAATTAAAACAATTAAAAACATTAAGAAAATGAAGCAAGACAGTCTGGACTGAAAGCAACCATTCAAACCAACCACACCTATACTCTCCCCACTAACATATTAACCCCAGGCCTGAGACCAAGCCAGGTTTTAAAGGCTTTTTGGACCCTCAAGAGACAACATGCTGTCTGTATCTCTGGGGAATGTTATTCCAGAGGGTGGAGTAGAGAAGGTACACTGATTAGGTCTCATAAAATGACAACATTTAATGAAGGGATCTGGAATTTATCAACTCGGTCCAAACACACTGGGTAAGCAGAAACCTCAGTAACCAAGTCTAATGCCATAAAAGGGCTTTAAAAGTAATAACCATCACCTTGACTCCATGTGGAAGCCAACAGGCAGCCAATGAAGTTTGCACAGCAGTAGTGACATGTGTCAATAATATTTGCAGAGAAATATTATGGTCTTTAGTGTAGTATTGCTATTCTCTTTTCCATCATGCAATAAGATCCACAGGTATTACTGAATATAGACTTTAGTACAAGTCTCATACACATGGAGGAGAACACAGTCCTTACTAGAAGAGTTCCTCTTCTGTGCCAACACTCCAGACTAATTTGTTTAAGCAGTTTGCTGACATAGCTGCAACTGGGTGAGTTTAGTAGACATGCTAAGCTATGAACCATACCTGGGGGGTCAGGAGGCATATATATTTAACGAATAAATAATGCCTGGAGCAGATAGCTAACATTGAAACAAAAGTAATTTAATGTTAAGAGTTTATCTTGCCTTTACTTTTTAGGATCTCAGAGGAAATTAATTGAGAACAACCCTATAAGGTAGTTTGGGCTGAGAGATGATGAATTTCTCAGTAAATTTCTATGGCTGAGGGTGGACTTCAGTCTGAGCTGCCCCCCCCCTTTGTGTTTGTGTGTGTGTGTGTCCACTTTGTTTAGGAATTTTTTCCAGAGCCATTTGGCATAAAGCTGCATCTGTTGTTCTTTACTATCACCTAGTGGTCACTATGGAAATGGTTAGATTGGGATGATGGTGGAAGGGGGAGCGGGGAGATGAAACTAACTGTAGGCAATAGAGATGGCAACAGCCTAATTTCCCAGAAGGAACTGTCCTACTGCCTTGTCTTATGCCTCTGACCTATTCTACTTCCTTCCTTATAAATTTGTGTAGAAAACACTCTTCACTGTTTGAATCAAGAAAAGGAAAACATGCCAGAGAGAAAAAAGAACAGACTTTTTTTGTATGGATCAAGGACTTTAGAATATAACTATCCTTTGAAAACAACAGAATGAAATGAAAATGAAAATGAACTTTTGATAAACTTTTGAAAATAAACAAACAAAAAAACTTGTATCTTAGGCCTGTATTTCACCATTCTTTTCTGCTCAACTGCCAGAATTGCCACAATATATGGTAAAGGTAACAAAATTAAAATTAATCTTGCTAATATTGGATAGCAGATAACCCTTAAGGCAAAGAGCATATATTGGAAACACCTTAAACTAAGCACATCTTGTCCAGGGTTTGCACATCAGCTGCAGAGCTCAGTCATGTCAACTTAAAGACATAGTTGCTTTAAGGTTTGTACCTAATCTTAATTCCTGTTTGTACCTAAACACACGTTGACCTTGAAAGTCTGGCTCTCTATAGCCCCTAGTAACATGATTCACCCAGAATGTGAAGTTAAAAGGCAAGAAAAGTATCTTTCATGAATACATAAAGGGTAAAGATACTGGAATAGCAACTACTTCAGAATAATTGGAAATTATTCCAACACAAAGCATTCATTTTGTGCAATGTACTCAGAGAATAATGCTTTCGTATAAAGGTAAGAGTTTCCCCTGTCCAGTTGTTTCTGACTCTAGGAAGCGGTGCTCATGTCTGTTTCTTAACTGAGGATGTAACAGGAGCTCACTTCTTCACGTGGCACTTGGGTCTTGAACCTGGGCTGACAAGTTCGTATATTTAGGACCAACTAATAAAATCTTACTGATATGCTTGATTTATTTTCAAAATAGAAATTTCCACAACAACCTGTCTTGAGGAACAATTTTATCATTTATAACTTAGGAGTTTGGGACATCTTCTCTTCCTTTAAAGTAAAATCCGCTAAAAATGCAACTAATTACTATGAACATGATCAAATAGTGACTTACTTTTTCTTTTCCACAAATTTCAAGAGTACCTGAAAGATAGGAACATTGGAAAGCAGCATATGTAGCTCTGTAAACATCTCCATTTTCATCAACATCCTAAAATTAAACAATTATTAATCAAAACTATTAGTTATATGAAGCAGTGCTTAAACAATCTTTAATTACATTACTTTTGATTGACCAGAGATGATGAGTTTCAGTAATATAATTATTTCATGGTGTAACCATTATGTGAACATTGTTTTTCTTGTTTATCAATACTGTTATTATGAAACACTTAAAATTATTTCAAGTTTTCACTAAAAGTACATCTATCATTCCTTGACTCAACAAATGAATTTCATATAACAATGTAAGTGAACAAACTAAGGCTGATGGTTTTAAACCTGATATATACTGCCTTTAATTAGCACATTTTCAAAAGCATTAAATCTACATTTGTCTTTTTGTAATTTTCAACAAGGTGAAACAGTTATAGGGCAACAATTTTTTAATCAAAGTACCTCAAATGAGCTATTTTAAAGAATGCATTCAAAATCCAGGACCCACTACTCCCATAGGAATGAAATCTCACTGATTGTGTTGGCAAAATAGTAGCTATGCAGCTGCGCCCCACCACCGCAGTTTGGTGATGGGATTTCCGACACTCCCTGCCAGTTTCCCACAAGCAAAACCAAGGGAGAAACTGCCTGGAAGTCACAATTTCCTCCTCCTTCCAGTATTTTTTTGCCCACCCATGGCCAATCTGCTTATCCGTTAAGAAAATATCTCTGAACCAATGACATGGTGGGTCATGGGTTGTCTAGTAAATTCTGAAATGTTTTCTTAAAATAAAAAGCAGGTTTTTATTAAACAGAGCTTTACCAAACATTCTACCCACACCTGCTCTTCTGGTGATATAACAGATTTTCTACATATGGTATTTAACAAACTTTTCTTGTATGTAAGAATATACTTTCTTATTAAAACAATCAAGATTATTGAATGAAATGTGAAATTGTTTTCTGCAATAATATAAGATTTAATACAAATGATTTCACTTTCTGATTTGATCCAAACTTTTACATCAGCAGTATGTAAGTTAGCAATAGCTGTAATTACAGTTGTTCATATATCCTGGTTAACTAGTTTTTTAATTGAAGAATGAAAAGCATGTTAACCTACATTGTGCTTTGAATAAACCATATTTAATAAATAGTTGCAGAGAATGACTGCAAAGACTGGTAAAAGCACAAAACAAATTGCTTAAATGAACAGATTATTTCTTTATTAGAATTTATGTAGAAATTTATCTTCTAAAAATTTTTGTCCCAATCTTTGAAAACAAAGATTTTCTTAAAACTAACCTTGACATAGGGTGGTGCAAAAGAAGTCAAAAACCACTTCAAATTTTCATCTCCATTATTTTCAATCTCTAGGTATTTTTCTGTAAAATAAAATGGCCAAACAATAAAATGCTAATGGTAAATTTCACAGCAGTCCACAGAAACAAGCAGTTTGTTGAAAATCTAAGCTGCTTATTTGGTCAGAAGTGATAATAAGTTGTAACTACAATATTGCTGCTTTCCTACAGAAGACCAATGTGATACAAATATTCTCTTCTTACTCCAGCATTTTCTGAAGGCTGAATCTGAAGAGTCACACAGCAGTTCATGCAAGTAGTCCTCAGTTTATGATCACAATGGGATTGGAATTTCCATTGTTAAGTCGGTACAGTCATCAAGTGAGATATCATGTGACCACAATGACGTATAATGGCAATCCCAGCACTCAGCATTGCAGTTGTTAACCAAGAATTGCAGGTTTGACTATCCATCCCATCCCAAGCCAAGCCATTCCAGGTTTGGTTCCTTCCCAGCCCTGAACCTCAGTAAACTAAGGGACTGTCTTCAACTATCTCCCCCCATTCCCCCCAATCTCTGCCTTTTGAGCCATCCTGTACCCTCCCTTGAGGGATGGCAGGAAATCTCAGGCTTATATGATTTTGGGCCTGCTTTCTACATCCCTATAAAAAAAGAGACAGCAAAGACAGTGAAAAGATTCTGCAATGCTAGAATTGAACTTATTCTTTGTTTTTATTCTCTGTGTGTGTGTGTGTGTGTGTGTCTCTCATTCCCTCTCTTAGCACTAAAAACATGTGCCCCAAGGATACCAATATACCTAAGTTAGAATTTACCTGAATGTTCACCAGATTTTGTCTCAGGAAAAAATATGGTCCGATTTTTTACTTCAAGTTTGGTCAGCTGTTTTTTCTGGCATGGTTGTATGTGAGTAACAGCTAGTTCAGACTGTTGTTGACCACCCATTTTAGCAGTTAGTGAGCTCTTTTCAGATGACTTCTCAGTGATATTTTCCCGAATTTGAACCTTAACAAGCTATACATAATAGAAAGAAATAAAATTCATACCTTTTTCTATTGTCTTGAGTTAACATATGGATATCCATTTAGAAGTGCCATTTAAGACACATACCCTAACATACTAAGGAATTAATTTCTACAATGCAACTGCAATTTGAAAATAATAAATGTAACCACTAAAACAAACAATCCTATCAACAGCTTAATAGAAAACATGAATTTAAATTTTTAAAAGTGTTTTGTTGTACAACAGTGGAATTTACAACATCATTTGTCGACTTAAGGCTTAGAGCCTTCTTGCAAGTTCTCAGGAGGACATAGTAAAATATCTTGATTCAGATGCTATTGAAAATGTTTATTTTTAAAAAATATTGTGTGGTTTTATTCTATTTTTTAAATTAAGAATTATTAAAGTATGAGATTACTGAATATTTCCACTATTAATGAATTTATAGATATGATTAAAAACTATATATTTTACTAAATATATATTTTATTTATATTATTATTGCTTTGTGGAAAGTAACAGGCATTAATATTTGTTCATGAAAGGAAGGATACTTTCTTAAATGGATCACTTGGAAAGAGAAGATTTCAAGAAATCTTCATTTCCATTTCTATTTTTCATTTTCCATTTTTCCTGATAAGGATTTCTTACTGGGGAGATGGACAGTTTGACATTATGGTAATTTAAGCTTTGCTAGAAAACTAGACACTGTAAAAAGAGAGTAGTCTCAATCTATGATGACAAGTCAAAAGAGGTCTGGTAGCATATTTTCCAACTAACAAGTTTTATTAAAAGATGTAAAGTTTTGTGTGCTCTTGCTCACTTTATCAATTGCTAGTGTCTAGGTGCAGTTTAAGAATGCTGACGTCAAAATAATAATTTTGATTAGGTTTTTTTTAATTTACTTGTAGAACCAAGATATATCTGATAGTTTTTATTTTCTGTGATTACATATTTGGACCGATTAATATTTTTTATTTTAAAAGATACTTTTTACCAGATAATTATAAAGGGTAGTTTTAATCAATGTTCTTTTTTAATGGATCGTGATACTATTTCAAGTACGTTTATATTATATACATGGAACATTTTAAATCTATATAACATTTGAATCCATTACTTTTTGTTTATATTTTTCTTCAATCTCTTACAAGAGTTGCTCCTGATCTCAATCCTTCATTGATTAATTAGATCCCAGTAATATAAATTCTATTGTTATATCTAATCAAGCTCCTATAACATTGTTTTTGGGAAAGTCTGTTTTATTACTTCAAGATGGTTTTAAAATGTGCAATTATTAAAAGATGTATACTTAATAATTTAAAATATGCTTTTAACAAGCAGCTAATTTAATTACTGTCGGATATTTTTAAGAATTATATATGAGTTGGTTTATCACATGTGCTTTATACAGGAAGAAAAAAATTAATCTCAACCAAATAAACTAGAAGAATAACTCATACTTTGGAATTACTAATTTCATCTCTATGTGTTGTATGTTGAATGTTCCTTAAATGCTATAAATCAGAATTATTGGGCATAAGGATAAAAAAGAAATAAATAATTAGCTTCTACATAGAAGAGCAAGAGAAACTGTTTTTTTCCCTACAGTTATAGGCTCTTAATTGTACAAATAGAACTTAATCAACAATCTTTCCAACAATTATACTTGACCTAATAGACTTGATTCATTGGTTTCAAATGAGTAAGTGAATTTTTTAAAAAGAACAATGAATTTAAAAAAATTTCAAGATCAGAATGATTTGGCTACACTGCTATTATTACAAGAGTTGTTATTTAAACCATGCAATGAAGGAATTCCTGTGATCCAGATGAATTTTTTGGCAGATGACATAATGCATCTAAGTTTCTTGCTCCTTTTCTAATTGAGATATAGCTAAAATTTCCATAAACAGATTTTTCTCTCTTATTTTTATGGGAGTTATAAAACAATAATACTAAGGCAGATAAAAACACAAAGACTACAAGATATGATTCAATATTTTTGTAAAATATAGAGTTAGCTCTTGCTTAGCAACCAAAATTGGGACTGGCAACTCCATTGCTAATGCCATAGTGACTAAATGTAAAATCCCATCACCATGGTGGCTCGTCCTCCTTCTTAGAAGACTCACCTTCTCTTTCCTCTTAGCCAGATCCGCCGCCTGAAACGCGATGCACTTTTTTTGCCTCTGCATACTCCATGTTTGTATTCAGGAAGGGGATTGTGGGTCTGACGCCCGAAAACGCTTTCCTTTGGAATCAGGAAGGAAAGCTGTCTTTGGAATCTATCCTGATTCCAAAACGGTTCCCGGTTCCCTGCCGCACATTGCAGGGGAACTGGCCGCTGCCTGAAACGCATTGGGGGAATCCAGCCAACAGGTAGTGGTGGCTGGAAAGGAGGGACGTTTCACTTTAGGGGCTCCCGCTCGGCTTGGCTCCTGGGCACAGAGAGGGCTTAGGCCAGCGGTTCTCAACCTGGGGGTCGCGACCCCTTTGAGGGTCGAACACCCATTTCACAGGGATCGTCAAAGCCCTCTCTTGCCCCCCCCCATGCCTTCACTCACCCTCTGTTGGATCGCCGGTCGCCGTTTGCTTACCCTGCCCACTCCCAATCTATTGCTGCCTCCTGAGTCCCAGCTGATGGCTAGAGGGAAACAAACCGTTTAAATTCTTGTCGCGGGGCTTCAAAGGGCCGCCCTACAGCTGATCAGTGTTAAAAGAAAACAAATGAGAAGACCGGTCCCTGCAAAAGTAGAAAAAAACAGCCCCTTTCAGCTTCAGCATAGGTTAATTACCATAAGTTGATTTGATCAGCCTCTGGACTCTCAGCTGATTTGCTCTCAGCTGTTTTGCGGAGGGCTCTGTTGCTAGCTGCAAAGAGAGGAGCAGATTTTTTCCCCCCTAGCTATGCTGAAAAACGAAACTGAAAGTAAAGCAGGGTCTTTGCTGCAATGTGACAAAATGAGGCAGAGAGAGATTTTTCTTTTTCTTTTTCCTCACCAAAAAAGGTAGGTGCAAAACTGCAAACAATGGGAAATTTAGGGGAATAGAGGAGGTTCAAGATTTTAAAACACAAAAGAAAAAAGCTCTATTTAACTAGGGAATTGTAATAATTGAGATACTATTAATTGTATATTGTGTTGAAAGCAGAAATGGTTAAGTTGTGGTTTGGAGGAATATATGGGGGAAATTATTTGGTTTATTATTATTGGTAAATATAATTAATTGATTTGTAAGAAATTGGATTGCATGGAAATAATTGGAATATTCATGTTCATATTGATTAATATACAAAAAAGATAGTTATATAACTAATTGATTTATATTAAAATGTTGAATTTATATTAAACAACTGTAATATTACATAATTAACCAATGTGAGGATGGATATAAAAATAGATGACAATGGGAAGGGGTATAATATAGAATAGAAGGGAAAAATTGAATTTGATTAAGATTAGAGATGAAGATGAAGGGTAATATTGGTTTTTTACAAAAATAGATTAGGAATAAATATGGCAAAAAGGAAATATAGAAATTGTAAATTTAATTGAAATGACTAAACACTGTTTAAATTTGTGAACCGGCCAAATACTCTGTTCAAAGAAAATACATTGTATGTTTGTATGTGTGTTTCTAATTATTGCTATTTATTCATATTTGTTCTCTTTTATTCTTTAAAGTTTAACAATTCATTCTTTATCTTAATATCTTTATATTTGTTTGGGGTTGGCTTTCTTCCCTTTCATCTTTTTTATTGTACAACAATCTTTTTCCTCAAACCTACCACCTCTCTCTTTTCTTTCCTTCTTACTTTTCTTCCTCCCCCTCTTCTTCTCCTTCCTACTTCTCTTCCTTTCTCCTTCTCCTCCTCTCTTCCCCCCTCTCTTACCCTCATTCCTACTCTAATTTCCCTTCCCTTCCTTCATCCCTCTCTATTGCTGTATCCTTTTATGCATATGGACTACTCAGAGGGCTGAAAAAGTTATTTTTGACTGGTCCTCGCACTTTTGACCAGTCCTCGAACTTACGACTATCCTCACATTTTACGTTTTTGCCCTATCTTGTCACCATGGTAAAGAGAAGCAGTTGTGAAATACGGGCATAAATGTGAAGATGGTCATAAGTGTGAGGACCAATCAAAAGTCCGAGGACCAGTCAGAAATTACTTTTTTCAGCCCTCTGAGTAGTCCCTATACACATAGCCATGGCCACCCGGTCACATGACCAGCTAGCCACGCCCACCCAGTCACATGACCTCCAAGCCACACCCATAAAATAAGCCACGCCCACAGAACCGATAGTAAAAAAATTTAGAACCCACCCTCAGGGCCGGATTTAGATGAAAAGAGGCCCTAGGCTATTCCACTTATGAGGCCCTTTCACCTATAGTGAAAATGTAATTTTAATTTTGCTAACAATTTGAATGTAGGCCCCTCTTGATCTTGAGGCCCTAGGCTGAAGCCTAGTTAGCCTATAGGAAAATCCGGCCCTGCCCACCCTTGGTTGGGGGTCACCACAACATGAAGAACTGTATTAATGGGTCGCGGCATTAGGAAGGTTGAGAACCACTGGCTTAGGCGGTGGCGGCTCCTCACATTGCTATGGCTAGGAAGACAGGGGTGTCTTGGGATCAGAGCCTTTGGTGCCAAGTCCCTCTTCTGTCCCCTTGAAAATCATCCCCCAACCCACTCATTCCAGTTAAATGAGCGTAGAGTGATAGGGTTTGTTTTAAATGGGTAAAAAGATCTGTGCTGCTCGTTATCAAAATCGAGTGAAAATGTGGATGCGGCTGATCTTGATGCTGGTAGGCAGAGGCAGAATTCTTGTTTTCCTCCCCAAAAATTAAGGTGTGTCTTATACTCCGGTTTATCTTATACTCCGAAAAATACAGTAAGTACTTATTTTTTCCACTAACAAGTACAAAGCTCTAGGCTTTCTAAACAGAATTCAAAGATTCATATTTGTTATTCCATTGCAATTTTCTCTGCAGTCCCTCCCCATATTTTTCAGAAAATACAGATGCTTACAATATTAAAACTGTTGTGATATCATGAGTAATGCTTTATTTTAGAACTTTGGCACATTTTTTGAAACACTTACTTTTTGTCCACCATCACAAAGTATGTATATAAGGCCACTCCATGGAAATATTGATTTATTATCTGCAAGTGATGGATTCGGACTCACATGAATTGAAATATTGCTCCTAGAAAATGAATTCAATAGTTCTGAACTTAAGTGAAATGAGAAAACTTGATGTAATAAATTTATAATAGTTTGATTTGTATAGAAGAATCATAAACTTCACAGTGGTTAAGGAATTATAATGAAAAAGTTCATATACTGATGGATCATTTAGCAAAACATCCATAAAGCACTAGAACACCACTTATTTAATTATATCGTATATAAAAAGTATTCAAAATATCCATGTTCACATAACCTACAATGTGGAAAAATATTTCACTATATACCGTATATACACAAAAGATATGTGAACAGCAGAAAGGCTATTAACTTTTTAGTGTTAATTTGTAATGGATTCTACTGCTTTCAGATTATCATATTCTATAAGACACCAAAAAAAAAAAAAAAAAACCCATACTTTCTAAAGCAGTTGTGTTTTCTTGAGTGTTAGGAAATACACCTCAAAGTTGGAGGAATAGGACAAAAATAAAATTTGCAATTAGAATGCAATTAATTTATTGAAGTTGAACAATCAATTTACTCTATACAGACTCAGTTTGTAACTCATCAAGAATTACAATCAAATGACAACATTAGGAGCCACACATGGCCATAGAAAAACTCATATAACAAAATGAAATTCATTAGACTCACAGTATAATTCTATTCATATATTCTGAATTCAGTGACACTTTCAGGTAAATGAATACAGAATCAACAGGCATTATCTGTCTGTTCTCATTAAATATTCAGAAACAACAGAAGTACATACCCTGGTTCAATAGTTCCATGTTGAGGAGTTACTGTAAGACAATGAGCAGGCCATGATAGTTCAAATTTCAATGATCGGTTTGAGTTATTCGTTATTTGTGTATATTTAGTAACTGTTGCACCACCTTTTGAAATAAGAATTGCATGAGTTTTCAGATATCTTCCACAAATATTTGAATTATAAACATTATATATATTTACTGTTAACTTAAACAAACTTGTAAATTTTGACAAAAAATGATATTCATTTTTTCTGAATTGGTAACTGATTTTTCAAGATGGAGATTTATCACATTCCAAAGTCCCATTATATTGTATGATTAATAATTTTCAAATAAATATAAGACTAAATCAACAGGGAAAAGATTGCAACAATATTTTTATTATGTACTAAACTTGAAAAGTTACTCACTTTGAAAAGGAGCTGTGAGAATCAGGAATTCTGGTTGAAGAGTCCAGGTTTCATGAGAAACAAGGGTATTTTCATTTAGGCCATCATTTTTTGAAGATAGGGCACAGCCATGAGGTCCTTTAACGGGTAGTACATCCAGAGTCATAGCAGACTTCTCAGGAAAACCAGGTCTTTAAATAGTTAAAAACTAGTTAATTACTAGCTATTAGGAGAATAAACAGGGACAAATGTAACTGAAAGACAATCACCAAGTTTTATGACTGTTACAGTGGTGGGTTGTTCCTGGTTTGGTCCGGTTCTTGCAAACCGGTAGTAATGGCAGTGGGAGGCTCCGCCCACCTGCCCAGAAGTCATCACAGATGATCTGCGCATGCGCAGAAGCATAAGCACGCGCTCCTGTTGCGAACCAGTAGCGGAGGTAAGTAGAACCCACCCCTGGACTGGTACAACAGATGATGATCACGGGCAGGCTCCATTAAGGTCATAAGCCGAAGACTATCTGCAAAATATTTAGGGCTAAATGTAATAGAGCCCAATATCAACGAACTTGTAATGGAGGCTAAAGCGTAAAGTGCCTTGCCTTTATGTGTATTTATTTTGTCTGTTTGTATTTAGATTTTTCTCATTCTTAAACTATTGTGTATAGTGAGCCACCCAGAGTTATTTGCTTAAGATAGACAGCCACATAAATGTCAAAGAAAAAAAGACAGGTCCTCCCCTTCCTTGAAACCCCATATGCTTCCTTTTCCCCTCCCTTCAAATTTCTCAACTTCACACATTTTCCAAAGGAGAAACTAAGGAACATTGACTTTTCCAGCTCCTAGGTGAAGTTTTTCAAAACAGTTGTAGAATCATAAACTGTTCTTTCCCTGTAATTCCTGAGAAAGAAAGGGACTATAGAACCATACCCATGATAGTGTCATATGAGGGTAATTTTACTCTTATTCTTGGGCTACATTTTCTAAACTTTATAATTTTGTTCTAAACAAAATAGAACAAAAATAAAAGATATCAGAACTACATGAGTTAAAAATACATTTCATTCAGATACACAGAATTAAAATTTACTGGTGCACGTTAATTGTCCGCTAAGATCTAATTTTTTTTATTTTATTTGTAATTCCCTTATTTAATAAGGAACTGTTTATTAACAATTTAAAGATTTAAATTTTATTTCATTAGCAATTTAAAGCATTCTTTTTAAAAAAGTAAATAAGCCATTACCTCTCCAATGCCACTTGATGTAGTGAAGATGGCCTAGTATCAGATACGGTGCTAGCAGAATCATTAACAACAGAGAGTGTAATCTTTCGCATGTTTGTCAAAAAATACTGGAGATCATTTAGGTGTTGTGGAAGGTCATATACTAGAACATAATTAATTAGGTAAATTGAATTAATGAAAGAAAAGCTCCACCATTCCTATATTATAGTTTTGCATCCCATTAAAAAATCTTTATAGTGTCACCTCATGTGGAATGTGTTCTCAAATAATTTCACAGACAAGTTCAATGGTAATGAAAACAATAACAAATGGACTCTACATACAGGGTTGCAGGAATCTTCTATTTGCTCTGGACTTTTTTGAGACGGATTGGATCATCTGAACAAATTTTTCTTAAAATTTTGTCCAAGTAATGTCAATGGAAAAAACAGCTAGTGCCATTAAATATCTATAACAATTCTTAAAATAATTGGCTGTATTGTATATGGTAAGTGAAGTAGACATACAGCAATGTGGAATGATGTCTTAAAGAATTGGAGCAGCCAGAAGACCCAGGTTTGACTTCAGTCACAGAATCTCAATGAGTGATTATAAAGGAATTAAGAGCTAACCTCAAAGAAGGAAGAAAGGAACTACTGAAGGATTGTGTTGTGACTCCGACTCCTGAGCCTGTCTTATCAGAGGGAGAAGACTCCGAAAGTGAAGGAGAGGAGTTGGCAAGGCCTCCCTCTTGAGGACCCTCCTCTCTGGCAATGCCTCAGGTGTCTTCCGAAGGAGAAGAGATAGGCCAGGAGTCAGGCACTTCCGAGCAGCCGCAGTTAGACAGCGACGGAGATAAGTTTTGGCTGGATCCCTGACAGCGTCGGAAAGACAAGCACGTGCAGCAGAGAAGGAGGCGTGCCAGAGATTAAGCTGAGTCACTGGACCACAAACTACAGGGGATAAAAGGGGGTGTGGTGGCCATTCAGGCTTTGTGACGGACAAAACTGAAAGCTAGCAAGTCATTCTGCATTTCTGGAACTTTGTTATATGCTCTGCTTGGATTGATTTTTGGACTGGACTTGACTATTCTTTGGCTTTTGTGGACTTACTTTGATGTTTTTGGTCGGAGGAGATAAACCTTCCTTTGTAAGTAAAAACTTTTGGCAAGCAGCCACTGGGTTGCTGCCAATTCTGCTATCAAAGGAAATTCTTGTCTGCTGGTTTATTTTAACTCTTGGTCGACTGCTGGTGTGCGTGTGTGAGACGGGGACAGAACAGATTTGTAGAACAGATTACACAGTCCTAAAATGAAGCAAGTATGAGAGACAAAACTCAAAATAATTCAATTTTAGTACAAGATGAATCAAGAAGAAAAAGAATCAGGCTTTTAGATTCTGTTCCTTTATTATTATGACAACCTACCACACTGAAGGGTTATTGGAGTTGGGGGGAGAGAGATGTTTAATCCTGAGCTTAATTTTTTATTTGCATAGCAAATAAAAATACTAATACAAACCAAGACAAAAAATATTAATAAGCTACCTAGGAACTATAAGTTAAGAAAAAACGTTTGGGTGAGGTCAGAAATTAATTTCAGAAATAGAAGGGGAAAAAAGTAAATTAGTGAAAATGTCTGATTGACAATTCGTTAGTAAAAGTGTCTGACTGACATTCAATCAAATGCCAAGTATATGCAGTGTGTGTCAAAAGCCCAACGAATGTACAGTATATGTGGTACCTTGCTCAATAGTAGTAACTGTGAGAGAGATCTTGGCGTCCTAGTGGACAACCATTTAAATATGAACCAACAGTGTGCAGCAGTTGCCAAAAAAGCCAACACAGTTCTAGGCTGCATAAACAGAGGGATAGAATCAAGATCACGTGAAGTGTTAATACCACTTTATAATGCCTTGGTAAGGACACACTTGGAATACTGCATTCAGTTTTGGTCGCCACAAAGCAAAAAAAGATGTGGAGACTCTAGAAAGAGTGCAAAGAAGAGCAACAAAGATGATTAAAGGACTGGAGGCTAAAACATATGAAGAACGGTTGCAGGAACTGGGTATGTCTAATTTAATGAAAAGAAGGACTAGGGGAGACATGATAGCAGTGTTCCAATATCTCAGGGGCTGCCACAAAGAAGAGGGAATCAAACTATTCTCCAAAGTGCCTGAGGGTAGGACAAAAAGCAATGGGTGGAAACTAATCAAGGAGAGAAGCAACTTAGAAGGAGAAATTTCCTGACATTTAGAACAATTAATCAGTGGAACAACTTGCCTCCAGAAGTTGTGAATGCTCCAACACCGGAAGTTTTTAAGAAGATGTTGGATAACCATTTGTCTGAAGTGATGTAGGGTTTCCTGCCTAAGCGGAGGGTTGGACTAGAAGACCTCCAAGGTCCCTTCCAACTGTTATTCTATTCTAATGGGAATCATAGCTAGTGTCATAGAATCATGACAGAGGGAGTGAGAAGGATATAATCACCCTGGAGGAAGTAGAAATAGAATCAATGTCAGTAGAATCTGATCTCTGCATCTGCATTGGTTTTATAATACAATGGTATTTAGAAAGTGAGAGAGGAATGCAAAAAAAGCAATACATTTTAAGTGTATACATATAATATGACATAGAATTTCAGAATACCTTCTTCCACCAGCTCTTCTCCAAGAAATTCTTCATCAAATTTAATATTTACTACCGGATTATCAGGAGAAAGTATTTTTTGCAATTGTTCAGGTTTATGTTGTATTGTTCTAAGTAGAAAATTTTAATATGATTTTAAAGATAACATTAGCTCCATGAAGTAGTTGATAAAAGAAAAATATTATATGGTATAAAAATAGTGGTTCCAGTTGTACCGGTTTAAAAGCAGCATATCCAAGAGTACTAACAAGCTATTACTGAGCTATTCCTTGTTATATATAAACACAATATAACAATGGATGAAATTTAAAATCAATGTAATTTTGATTCTATAAGGAAAAAGACATTATCCAACACTTTAAACATTCATGTCTAACCTAAGAATCTTACTAACAATTATTTGCTTTAGATGCCTTCCGTGGAATAAAACACTCCATTTGTTCCTTCGTCCATCTACAAAGAATTCTGAGCAACAATAATTTCACTTTGTAGTAGTTCCTGAAGAGAGTAATCTATTCTGAGTCCTCTACATGATGATGGGACTCAGGAAGTAAAGATTTTAAGAGACTATAACTAATAAAACCCATAAACATGGGTTTTTCTGAAACCAAAGTTAATATTCTTTTTGGTCTGTTAAAGAGATTCATAATAATAACCTGCCATTAGAATACATTTTTAAAAATCATGATCTGACAGGTCTCCAATATGCATGAATCATTAAAAAATCTTTCAGATTATCAAATAGAGTTCTGAAAAATGCAGGTGGACATATTCAACTGGAATCACATTAGTCTAGAGGCTTTCCACTGGAGCCGTCTGCAGTATAAAACAGTTTCCAAATAAATCTCAGATTAAAAGTGTAAGCACATGGAAGAATGTATTTGAGATGCTGTGATTCACTGTTCAACAATTTAACAATTATCAGCACTGTCAAGACAAACCTCAGAACTCTTACATTAATGAATAATTTATAAATCTACCTGGTCCTTGTTAAATTGCCCTTTGATGTGAATAGTACAATTGACATTGACATTGTACTATTGGCATTTGATTAGGATTGTTAGTATCATAAAGAAAAAATGAAGCTAACTGAAAGGCAACATTAAAAGTCCCCTGAATCTAGTATATTTTAAACAAATTATAGATTCAATAAATTGAACTATTAAATCTCAAGAACAGACAAAAACCTTATATAATATAGATTAAAACCTGCATAAATGCAAATCATTTCAGTATATGGAATTAATTTCCTGATATTTGAATTTACTCTCTTTCTCTGAACCAATTATCTTAGACTGTGAACAGAATGACTGTTAAAGGAATAGCTATGAGTTTTTAAAGTATTTTGGCTTTCAAAAAACCAGATCTTACCTGCAACATTGTTGTCTCAAAATTTCATCACCATAAAATAAGCAAATTGTAGACAACACTGATGATGAATTCTTGATTTCTTCAGAGGGAATATATGTAACTGCAATTCTCTGTGAGAGACAGTTATTATTGTATTAAATTTCACATATTTTTGTAAGCACTACTATATTTGATTAAAAATATACAAAATTATAATTAAACTGATATCTTGAAATGCCTAAGAATTTACAAAGGTCATATTTATCCAAGCAATTACATGGCTGGCTTTACCTGCTTCGAACCTTCTTTAAGAATGAACTTTTCTGGAAGGATTCTCATTGTATTTGGATCAATGACACTTTTTTCATAAATGTTTTTAAAACACAATGCTTTTACATAGGCAGCCCGGCAGCCCGTATTTTGTACAGAGAAAGTAGTATGACTTGTTTTACCAGGTGCTAAATCAGGCAATCCTAATATATATCTGTTAGCATGTTTTTTAACATCTTCTAATCTCACGTTGCTTTTTCCTCCATAACCATACAATGGTATCTAAAAGACAGAGAAAAAAAAAACACAAACAGGAATGACATTAATTGAAAGAGTCCCTTCATATTGCTTTTCATTTGCTTAGTTCAAGAAAAAGGGGGATCCTAAATTATGAAAGTGCATAAAGATCTTCAGGTACACCCACTTACCAAGTTAACATAATGTTAACACTAGAAAGGTTTAAACTACTTAGAGATACCATGTCTGAAAGATTGCTTTCTCCTCTATGTACTCACCTATTTGCTCCCACATACTGTATAAAGTTTATATTGGAGGGGATTATCACAACATAAGAAAATCCATAATTGTATGAACAAGGTCCATGCTTATGACACTGAATATAGACCACGAATAGCACAATGGTTAATCAGCAAGCATTATTTTTAAAACAAGATTAATTAGATATGTAATACTAACTGAATAGTGTTTCAAGAAGTTTAATCAAAATGCAGTTAACAGTGATAAGCCATCATTAGGAGTATCTACTGTATATACATATGATAGGAACCAGAAAATGCCTTCCTTGTTATTTTTTTATTAATTAAACAAACAAATATAGCTGCCCAACTCATACGTATGTGACTCTAGTCTAGTGGCTTACAACATTTTTTAAAAACCCATAAAGAACCCCAGCCTCTCAGGGCAGCACAACACAATCAAATCAGCAACTTGATCTTTTTTAAAATATGTCTGAAAAAAAAGTCCTGAAGTGGCGTTTAAAGCTCTTATATCTCTGAAGCCATACTATATTTTATTTTATCTGCACGTCTTTTTTCTGCTTTTCTTAAGAAAGTTTATAACTGTGCCATTCAAATAAATATACAATTTTACCACTAAGTGATACAAGTCTTGTAATATGAAGTAATACATATTTTAGCACGGATGGGGATTATAATTTCTTGAGTTCTCATTCCCCTATATTAATCAGAACAAAAATATGTACTCCCTCTGTCAGGAAACAGCAGCCACAGTGTATTACAATAGTGCAACATGGTCAGAGACTGAATTCAGACAGGCTAAATAGATTATGTTAAAAATAAAATTTAAAATTTCACAGATAATAGTAAATGTAAACACTGAAAAGTACACTGAAAAGTCCATAATGACAAGAAATATCAGAAGTTCAAGGGTATTTTGTTCTCTTGGGAATGAGAAACTGTGGTAGTGTAGAACTTATTCTGATCATGTTCTATTTTTTTCCCAATTTAAATTTAAATATGTATCATCTAAATTTATTTCAGAACTGAAGAAAAACAATGTAGTAAAAATACTTAAGCATCAAATTATAAGTAGAGAAGACAACTTACAGTGAATTTGATTCCTAGCTGAGATAGAACACCAAGCTGTTTCATTTCCAACTTTGCAAACATGCAAGTTAAACGATACGGTGTAAATGTTAGACAGATACTATAATCGTGCTTTGGGCGGATCTTGATTTCGCAGTTATTGTATACATATTCTCCAACTTTTAACTACAAATGTAGAAGGAAAAAAAATCATACTAAATTTACCTGAGTTAAGTTCTCAATAAATAGTTTTAGTTTGAAATAATTTGTACAGTTCTATAAATTAGGACAAATCATTCTGACCAAACAAAATCTCTAAAATCTTATTAGCATCAATTCAAAAAATCCTGATGGATGAAAATATCTTCCTTTCACACCCACTTCTATTTTGTAATGTTTTCCATGTGCAGGCTCAATAGAGTCAAAACAATCTACATGCATTAACTTTCTGAAGAGGGACTTTGTTAGAAAATGACAACACTTCCCCAAGAGATAGGCTTTAGAACTGGTAATTACTAGGAATGCTGGTTTACTCTTAACAAAATTAGCACTAAACATTTTAAAGTTGCTTAACATTAAATAAAACCAACATCTTTTTCAAAAATTTAGTCTTGAATCATATAAGCTTTGTAATTTATTCATATTTATTGACAAATTCTGCTGAATTCAATGACTATAAACCTTAGGAATTACCATCCTATACAGAGGGCTTCATCTTGAAAAAAAACCATTATTCTAGACTACAGTTATTTTATTATCACAAACAAAAATAGCCTCATTCCCAATCAGATTTATTTTCCATTTTTTTGTCTCACCTGGAAGCAGTCTTGATCCTGACCCCTTATTAGCAATCTTAACTGCTGAGAAGTTGATGAAGAGTCATTTCTCAGAATTAGTTTCTGTTGCCTAAAAATTACAATAACTTAACATTTGGTGGCAGTTTATTTATACTCAGGAAATGTATTTTTAAAGAAATATATTCAATCTACCAAGAAAGAACTGCATCACTTGGAAGCCAAAGCAATCACCAATTTAACTGTTAATGAAGTATCGGGTTATATTTTATTACATGAAGTATTAAGTTACTTAGCTTTTCAAAGATTAAATACCGTATTTAGTATCTGCAATGATATAGTTGGGCTCTATAAGGCTAAGCATTTTGGATGCAATTAACAGATTACTTTGTTAAGTAAGTATTTCACTATTAAGTAATGTAAGTAATTTATTGATCTGCACCTGCTTGCAGGCCATCCATTTTTCAAGGTACAGTTTAATAAAGACTCACAGTTAAGAATATGTTAGAACATAGAGGAGAAAGTTGTACAAATTACTCAAACCTTACTATTTTCTTCATCTTACTAAGCAAAGCAGTGGTGTTAATATTTCCAAATATTTTTGAACTCTTCCATTCCACAGAGCGGATTTTTATGATATGCTTAACTAGGTCACAGATGGGTTACAGGTAGTCCTAGTTTAGTGACCATAATTGTGACTGGAAATTTGGATGTTAAGCAAAGCATAGCCAAACCTAATCAATATTATAATTGTGGAGCAACAATTTTGGGTTAGTTTCCTCCCCCGATCAGTTGAGATATATTCAAAAATCAGTTCCCCAAGACGAAGAGTTGAAGTTAGAAAAGACGGTATCACAATTACAGAACTAATGTGTTCTTGTTTTGCTTTCTCATTAAAAGCTTACATGGTTCTTAACTTACAAAGATTGTGAATATATTTTTCCCTCATGAGTGAATTTGTGGGATCCTGCCTAACAATCAGACTTTTTCAGAAGAAATGAGCAGTTTTTCCATGCTCTTTCTACATTTTACTTTTTGCTTTTTGAAGATGTGTTTGGAGGTGTAAATTATACTGAACAGAGATCAACAAGACAGATATTGTTCATGAAGTAGGGAGAAAAGGGATTGCTAGAAGAGAGGGCAACAGCAGGCAAGAAGCTAGTTTGTGTGTGAATTGTATTTTTGTGAGTGTAAATTAGTATTTTATATTCCAATATGGCATATTTTGATCTATTTACATTTGGTCAATGTACTATTTTTCACTCAAAGCCTTGCTACACATGCAATTACAATTCAAAGATCAAACATTCAGACCACCACATTCTATGGTAGGTGGGCGCAAATGAGACTTCCTTCATGTTCTCACAAATATACTAACAGCATGTAAGAATCTCCTGGTAACAGGAGTAACAAATAGTTGTATGTTTGGTAGCAACCTTTTCTGTGCAATGTCAAGGCATTTTCTCAGAGGAATACAGAGCCATGTATATGTTAGAAAAATCTTGCTTTAAGGTTTCATTTATCATCACTCAGTTAAATAAACTGCTTAAAAATGTGGCTCAGGCTTTATAAATCAATAAAGAAGCATACACTGCTTACGTTGTTCTTGACACTTACACTGTTCTGCCAACCTGTACACCTCCCCATATCAAAAGCTGCTTGTTGGAAAGAATCGGAGGAACTTCTGAATTGGAGCACTTTTGTACCAATGGTTTGTTCTCTTCCATTGACACATCACCTTTCACTGTTACTTTATATTCTGGCCCAGATGGCAAAACCATTATTTTCACAACACTGTTAAAACAAAATTATTGTTAGATGGGCTAGAAAAAATAGTAGTTATTTAATATCATTATTTTTAAAAATATGCTATATTACCTATCTGAATTTTTACAGTTCTTTGGAGAAAATTCAATAGTTACTTCTTGTTCTTCTTCAGGTATAAGAATCAGATCCTCAGGATTGATAGATATACAGTTATCTGGCTCAACTGTCTAGAAAAGAGCAGAATTCTTTAGAGAGAAATATTAAAATATAATTGTATTTATAACTCCTGTGAAGAATATTGGAAGCCACTTCTTTATATCTTTTTATTTCTTCCTCTTTTTTCTACTTTCTCCTTTTTTTCTTACTGTACTTTTAGCTTTTTCTTTTATATCTCCCCTTTTCATTTTCTCTGCTCTATTTTTTTTTTGCATTAGTTCTTATAATTGTTAAACTTTTCAGTAAAAATTGTAAAAGGTGGCACAATACTATAGAATAGATTTAAAATTGTTTTAGTTTCATCAAATTAACAAGTTTTGATTATTGTTTCGTCATATATTTTATATTCAAAAACTCATGGAACCAAGTAAATTCTTATAATGAGTCTATTTAATATAATAAACAATTATATTAATCTCATTCACCACCTCCTAAATAGTTGATCATTTTAAATTAGTTCCCACGAATAAAAATTAAGAAACCTACCATGATCTTCAAATTAACTTTTATATTCCCAGCATTCTTTAATGGTAACTGCTGTTTTGTTGCTGATCCTATTTTTGCACACATATATAACGTCTGGAAAAAAAAGTTTATACATTACTTTAGAAAACAAATACAGAAATAGTCTACATTTTGTAAAATGATTTTATAGAATACCTGTAGGCCCTTAGGAGCATATATCCTAGGGGTTCCAGACCTTGCACTCAAAGGTATACTTTTTAAAACATTACCAGGCTCTGGACAATCAATTTCCACATCAATTCTTGCAAAGTACTCATCAGCTGGTCCCAAAGAATCTGAAAAAGTTCAAGCATAAAATCTCATTTCTCATTCTAGAGTTAGCTTTGTCCTCAAATAGTTCATCATATAATCATATATCAAAATGATACCATAACTAAAATGACACTATTTAGAATATCTTTTAGAATACCCAGAACATTTATTTGTTTATATGGTATTGTTTTCAAACAGGATAGCATTAAACTGACAACAAAGGACAAGGTTATGGAATACTCATTCTCCCCCACCCCCCGCCCTTAATATCTAAATGAATATGTTCTAGTGGCTCCCTTCTGTGAAACCACTTGCCTCACACATCTGGTCTACCACTTTCTTCCTGGTTTTTGCAGGACTGTAAAACCTGGCTATTCTGACAGCACTGTTTTTGTATCTTTTTTTCATTGTATTTAATGTATCATCCTTTTTCTAATCAGGTTAGCACTGACATGGAATGAAGTGGCATAGAAATCCCAATAATAATTAGTACAGTGAAACTCTGAATAAAAGTATTGGATATGGGCATGTGCTTAGTTTCAATCATGCCTCTCTGGTATAATAGGCCATAGAAAGAATTATGAAATCTGTGTAGTCCATTCCCACAGAATCCTGAGGTACTGTCATGTATCTTGTTTACAAATCCACCCGGAGATATGACCAGACTGCCAGAGAGCAGATACAGCTTTTCTATAGAGTTCCCCTTTTATGGAAATTGTTCGTTAAAGGGGTATATTTTGCCACCTTTCATGTTTTGTTTTATTTTTACTCCTTCAGATATGTTTGCTTCCATTCATTTATGATTTAGGGCAGGGGTGTCAAACTCACGGTCCAGATGCGTCACGCCCAGTTTAGCGAAGGGGGAAAAAGTCCCGATACATCATGTGATGCTGGCGTGACACCGCGAGTTTGACACCCCTGATTTAGTGTCTTTGCTTATTACTCTTGCTTTGATTTATCATTGGCATAAGTTTTTTTTAATTTACTTTTCAGTTGTTTAGAATTGTGGACTTCTTTTTAACATCTATTCAATAATAGAGGTTTTATCATATAATTATTTTACAGTGGTTTTTTAAAATTAATCATTGCAGTTGTTAAATTAATAACCCTGTTAAATGAATCTAACCCCCCCCCCCAATTCACTTTGCTTGTCAGAGGTTTGCAATCACGACCCCAGGATACTGCAACCATCATAAATATGAGTCAGTTGCCAAGCACCTGAATTTTGATCACATGACCATGGGTATGCTGCAATGGCTGTAGGTGTGAAAAATTGTCGTAAGTCACTTTTTTCAGTGCTGTTGTCACTTTGAACTGTCACTAAATGAACTGTTGTAAGTCAAGTCAACCTGTATTAGTTCCAAGTCCTTTTGTGCATAAGGAAAGTACTTTTTTTCTCTGTGCAGAAAGACAGGGAGCAATCAATTTCTGCCTCCTTCTTCATAGAGTAAAATAGCATTCAAACCCCTCCCCCGCAAAAGTACTAACTATACCAATTACATAAATTTGGGCTTAAAGTACACCCCTTCCCCATAAATGGTGCATTATATGAATGTGTTGGAATTTCCATACTAGGTTGGTCAAACATTTTTTTAAAAATATTTATGTACAGTTAAACCTAGTCACAGGATTTTTAGCATAATTTCTTTTAGAATATAGCAAATCTGTACCTGAATTTGTGCACTTGCTTGGTGCACGAAATTGGACCCATACTACTAAAACATCAGGATCCTGGGAAGAAAGATACTGATATAGAATTAACCATTATACAGAAAGTACCATTTTTAAAAGTATTTGATAAAAGTTAAGACCTCAGTGAGCTACATAACCTTATAAAGAACCATGATTGTAAAAAAAACTAAGCAATGATATAAGAAATCTTTATAATCTTAAACTATATACAAAGTGAAAATATAGAAAGTACAAATATTCTTTTTTTTAATATACAACCTCTTAAGACACAACCAGGCCTACTTTATTAGGTATACTACTAAATCAAATTTGTACCTCCAAGTAGGACAGTTTTGGCATATGGTAAAATAATGTTGCCATAGTTTAACATAACATATTTTCTCTGTGGCTAACAGTTATACATTTTTATACAAATGTGTAACAGTATTCTAGTCTCAAGCTACTTACTTGTGTATTACAGCTTGCATTCATTACATGAGATATAACAGATGGAGCTGCTAGTTGAGAAATGTTGTAAGAGGGAACTGCACTTTTAAGAGATGGATTTACTGGTTCCTTGGAAAATGTGAAACAACGCCATGCTACAGCATTCTGAAATTAATGTTTTACACACTGTATTAGACACAAGGCTTTATTCATATTCACTCTTTTACAGTCTACTGTTTTAAGTTTTGTCAATGGAAATCTTTTTGTGATAATCTATATTACCAAATGCCTATTTTTTATCACTGGAAATTTTGAAACCTATATTAGCCCCTTTAAAAAGGAGGTATATGATTATTAGCACTAACATTTTAAAAAAGCTTCAGTTTAAACTATACATGTGTCTTGAAAAGCTAGACTGGAAGATGAGCATGGCTTTAAAACTGGAGGAAGAAACTTCAATAATCAATACTATATAGATGCTGCTGCTCTGGTATCGAAAATACAAATGATCTGTAAGCACTAGTAATGAAAGGAGCATAATGAAAAAAGAGGAATCTGATTAAATGTAAAGATTAAATCAATGACAATAAATACAACAACCAGTTTTAGAATTGACAGTGAAGATAATGAAATGGTAAACAGCTTTTGTCTTTTCAAATTGATTATTAACAGTAAAGGAACTAGCAGTCTGTACGTTGCAGACTAGCACTTGGTAGAATAGTAATAAAGGCTTTGGAAAAATAATCCAGCTACTCCCAATTGGGCTTTTCTAATTTTGGAACAAAGTAACATGGACATTGTTTGCAATTTCATCCATGATTTGCCACATAATTTTCTATAAAGATAACAGTGAGCCTAACCTAGCAGTCACTAATTTCAGAATACCCATGAAGGGACAAAATATTGTGCATATATAGAGTGTACTTACTGCATGAATAACAAGCCTGATTGGCATTCTAGCACAAGTTTTATTAGTTAATTTCAATGGGAGCGTTTTCCAGCTGCCATATGGCAAATCACCAAAATCAAGAGAATTTGTTCTTCCTGCTTCCACCTAAAAAAAAAAAAAAGAATTGGGGGTGGGGACAGAAAAAGGACTTACCACTTTTGCAGAGTGATTGTTACAATGCATCTTCATTCAATCCACTCTTCAAGCTAGCATATGTCCAAAAAGTATGATATGCTGATTTAAGCCAAAAGACCTTTTATTTTTATACACCCAGTTGTACACAGAAAAAATACCTAATTGCTTTACTAACTTAAATCTGTAGAGCAATATTAGTACCGGTTTTCATTTTTAAGTATGTCATAAATTATTGTAAATAATTCAAACTAGGTATTCAATATATCCTAATTTTTACCTCTATATCAGGATTTTCAGCAATTGCATTCACAACTACCCTAGATCCTAAAGCCTCTGCCTGAACAATGATATCTGGATCTGCAGAAAATGGCCAAGAGGCAATATTAAGTACACACTGGAATACTCCAGCTTGACAGGGTAAAAAGAGCATTTTTAGTTCTTCTGTAGCACAAGGTCCTATGACAGTTTTGCTCTTAAATAGCAGGCATCTGTGTTTCAAAGGGTCCACCTATAACGAAAAAAAAACACATAGGATGACAAACAATTTTCAATATAATTATGAATCATATATATTATAGAGACATAAATAGAAGCTAAAATCTCCAAGTTGTATGACTGTGCTGATCACATTAATATCTTTCTGCTTTTTGGCCCAAGGGTTATATTGGCCTATATTTTGAACAGGAACATAAAAGCTTCATTATAAATATCACATAGATGTTTGACAAAGAATCATAACCAATAGTTGGGAATAGAATATGTAGAAGACAAGACTGATATAATTTCACAATGACATGCTGAGATTTCAAGTTAAGAAATCTTCCTGAGGCTACTAGAGGCTGTAGCTCCATTTCTAATTGTATTTTTGCTCAATTCCCGAGCACATAAAAATTACCCACCATTTTTTAATAGTAATTTTTTTAAAAGAATATGATTTATTACATACCTTTTCACCATCAAGCATAATACTAAGAAGGCAAATATTGACTTGTAGCCATCGTTCAGATGGATTAAAAATGTTAAGGACAGCATGGGATGTCAGACCCACACAACAAGAATTAGGGAATTTTACTTCTTCTGGGACTTTGACACGTTCTAATGTAAAAAAAAATACAGTATGGCTAGATGTTAAGACATTTTATATTCAAGTAGCCTCTTTATAGTAGTAAAAATAGTTACATAGTTAATACTTATTCCTTATTTGGTTGTAAGCATATTTTTAAATATACGACTAAAATAAAAGATACTCATATAGTTTTAAAATCCATAGCTGTGATTTGCTAATTTGATTTAATACAGCATTTAATATCAGATATTATGTTTTACTCTATTTGTAAAAACAAATAAAGCACAACTTCCACCAAGATTTTCATTCTATTAAGTATTATTTAGAAATAATTTCAACATTAGAAAAATATGTTCACATATTACAAAACTATATTATAGGTGATGGGGAAAGAGCTTTCTTTCTATCATTTTATGGTTACCTGCTTTTAGATGATTTAACCAAGTATAGCAAAATAAAACAACTATATTAGAATAATTTAATAAATAAATAAATAAATTTGAAAATATTTTTTAGAATAAGAGTCTTTGAGTTTCATCAAGTAAACTCTGTGTGAGAGAAAGTCTCTTACTCTGGAACCAGATCAACTGGTACACACAAATTTGTTAATCTTTGAGAAAATTATTCTATTATTACTGTGAAATTACTGTATATCTATACTCATACTAAAAATCTCCTTCAAGTTAATGAACACTATGCAAGGCATAGGAATAGAACAGTAAACCAAAGGGATTAAAGCATGAGGTAAGAAAAAGAAAAAAAAGAAATATTGCTAAATCCAGTTTACATGATTATGATATACTGAAATCAAAGTTAACTGACTTACCAAACCCAAATGACATTGATTCTTCCCTCTGCCTGAGTCCCCCAGCATCAGGTGCTTGCCCAGGATGTAAGGTACTACTAAAGATATTTTGGTTGGATGTAAGATTGCAACGCTGAGTTGTTCCTGTCATTCCAGACCCAGTGCTGGAACCTACTGCTATTCCAGGAGTTACTGAGCTTTGAATGTGACCAACAGGAATCGTAGAATAAATCAGACCTGCTGGAACACTAAGAACTGGTGGACAGTACCGAGGCAAAACAACGTTTGTATGAGCTGGCAAGCTTCCCAAATATTGCTGGGCAAATGGAGTTGATTTAAGAGAACATCCTGCTAATAGTGCTGGAAGTCCAGAAGACATTAACGAAAGCTTTGAAGCTGCACTCTGGGATTTAAAAAGCTCTCTATTTTGATTTAATGAAATACAGTTGCCTAAATCATTATAAGTAGACAGTTTTTTGGGAGACTGTAAGCCTGGTCCATGTACGGCATTTGTGTAATACTGCTGTACTGCAGGCATATCAACCTGATCCAGTTCATTATTTTTTTTACAGTTCTGTGTGGATTGATCTTTGCTTGTTGTTGGAAGTTCTCCAGTTGATTTTTTCTTATCACATTGATTGTTATGATCTACATTTTCATTTATAATTAGACTCTTAGCTTTTGCATTTTTGCTTAATGATAGAGATTTGTTACTTTGCAAAGCAATGTTTTTTCCTGTTTGAGTCTCCATTAATGAACTTGGACTATTCCAAACTATTGTGGTACTCAACTCACTGGTACGATTACTCTAAACAGAAAACATTAAAATTCTGATTAGGATTTACAGCATATGTTCTTAGGTGAAATACATACTTTATTATATACAATGAAATATTTTATTAAGGACACATAATAAAATATTAAATAAATTTTAAATAAAATTTAAAAACATCAATAAGTCTGTTTTTAAAAATAGCTAATAACAATATTTTTATATAGTTAGTCCTCAACTTATAACCACAATTGGGACTGGAACCTCAGACACTGAGTGAAGTGACATGCCCAGGTGTTCACTTCACTCAATGACAATCTCAGCATTTCTGGTTCCAATCATTAGGTGATCTCTTGGGTAGTTAAGCAAACAGAGCAACAGGCAGATAAGTAGTCCTTTGAGAGTTGAGGGCTCTGTAGAGATGAGGAGAAAATTTGAGTTCTGTGCCTGCTTAAATTTTAGCAGGTGAGGCATACACAGAGCTTGTGGTCCTTCTCTCCCTGCTCTGTGGAAAGCTCATGGAAGTGAGGAGAAGAATATGAGCTCAATGCCCACTTGGATTTTGGCTGTTGAGATCTAAGCAGGCATGGAACGGAGGGAACTCTTTCAGTAAAACCCTCAGCAACAAAAAAAGAATCCTCTCAGGAGGTGGCAGCAGCTTGAACCTTCCCTGTCAGCTTCCCTCCTCAGACTTTCTGGGGAAACTGGCAGAGAAGATCACATATTGGCATGTGATTGTGGGATGCTTTGCAACTAGTCATAAGTGCGAATAGGTTGCCAAGAACCCAGATCACAATCTTGTGATGGGGTGTGTATATATTTTTTTATTTCATAAATTTCATAAATGCTTTACATACTGTAAAATATACCCTTCCCAAGGCCAACATAACTTTAAACAGTAGTTAAGCAACTGGTCATTAAGCAAGGACTACCTGTACTAATTTTTGCTATATATTTACTGACATAAAAAAATTCTTTGACAAATATAACATGATCTTTTTGAACTCCGGTGTGCAAGTGGACCCACCTGCACTCACTAGAACCCATTTCCACCAGTCTGCTTGTGAACCACCAGAAGAAAGGCTTATTGTGACCTGGACTTGTAACTTCCTGCCAGCTTCACTACTGGTTTTGGTTGTTGGAAACAAGCAGGAAGTTGCATGTTCTGATCATCTAAGGTCCTTGCTTAAAGATGGCAAACGGGACTACTAGGAATGCAGTTATGACATGATGTTGAACGTACGACTGTATTGCTTAGCAATGGAAATTAGAGTCCCAATTACCATTGTTAAGCAAGGACTATCTGTATATAATGTGAAATAAAATATATTTTATTTTTTAAATTTTTTAAAAATTTGATTTATATGCCGCCCTTCTCCAGAGACTCAGGGCGGCTTACAATGCGTTAAGCAATAGCCTTCATACTTTTGTATATTTATACAAGTCAGCTTATTGCCCCCACAAACTGGGTCCTCAATTTACCTACCTTAGAAAGGATGGAAGGCTGAGTCAACCTTGAGCCTGATGAGATTTGAATTTACAGTAATTGCAGACAGCTGGTGTTAATCACAATGCTATCACTCTGCTGAGCCACCAGGCCCTGGTGAATTTAGGTGCAATATCTTTAATTGAGTACTAATTTCACTACATTGTAAATTTGAGATTTCAAAACTTCTGAACTGAGGTAGTCTATTTATAGTTAAAACAGAAGTAATTAACCTTCATGGCAGAAATCAGAGCTTGAAAAATGCTACATAAAACTACAGTGTTCCTTGTCGAACATTTCATTCTATTGCAATTCCATGAAGTGTAATCTGAAAAGTCAGTATGACCTTAATGTCTGTATATAAATAAACATTAGCATTTAACAAAGTACTTACTTTGTATCTTGTTGGACTAGATAGAGCTAGACTTTTACAAGTGTTTTCAGTGGCAGAAACAAAAGTCAAATGTTCTAAGCTAGGATCAGTGTATACTGATTGTCGTAATGTATTGTCATTGCAAGTTGATTTCTTAAAGTTGGGTGATGTAGAAGGAAAGTCAGACCTAAGAAACAAAACAGAGACTTTAAGAAAAATATCTACATATCTATGACTTATACAACTAGGGGAACTGCAAAGTCTAATGTCAATTTAAATATCTTCAATAACTTTCTGAAAAGTTTCTCTTTAAAGAAGAATTCTTAATAAAGGAAACAAAGGTAAAAATTGGTACTCCCTAACAAACAAAAATAACATTTTCTGATAGGTTGATGAATAAATTCAATTGAAGGACACTTTAGTGGTTGAATGCAATACTTCAAATCCTTTGTATTCCTAGTTTTTAAAAAAGAAGGGGACCATCTTTGCCTGAGACACCAAATTGGTGATGTAGAACATGGAAGCAATACTATAGGATAAAGCATCATAACAATCTGTCTCTCATACATAAATATAGACTATCTGTTAGATACATAGAACTCTTACCCTGTAAAGGTAGCTCCTGAAGATTCACTTGGAGATGAATGAGTCAGTGGGGAAGTTGAAGGTCTGAAGCTATACTGTTCATCTGAAATTTGTACACCAGGCGTTGATGTCATAAGCTTTGGTTCAGTTCTTCCAACAGCTTCACCTGAATATTAGAAAAAATATTTTGAATTCTTCTTAGTGATGTCTAAATAGTATTTCCAGTTCCTTAAATATTGTGATTTTCTTCCAGAATGTACTACTGTGTCTTCTGCCTTTCAAATCAGGCAGGAATTTGTAGTGCACTAAACTGGAGGGGGGACAATTTTTTAAACTATAATTTGCTGAAAGCTCGATCATGACTATAGTTCATAATCCAACATACTAAGTAAAAATCAATCAATTGGCTGAACAAATAAGCTTGAATAAATGGGGCAGTTTATAAACTGAATAAATAAAATAGACAGATTGCTTTCCACTATCTGTCCATCAAATAGTTATAATACAGTACTCAAACCATAGTAATAGAAATATGTGAACTTATATGAAAAGAAATTCCCAAAGGGAAATATACAATCCACTATGCATCTAATTCTAAGAGAGGCTCACAGAAGATATAAGATCCAGAAGGCGGCCAGCTGATACAGAGATACTACAGGTATTATTTGGTAAAACATTTACTTCTGATACCCTGTCTTACTGATATATAGGAGAAAGCACAAACATCTATTTTTCTATTTCAGAGAAAAAGGATGTTGATAAAGATAAGCAATTTATGGTATTATTATAAATTATATATATCATAGATAATATAACTTTCCATTATAAAGTATAGCCACTTGCTCATGAAATGTAGCATTTATCTTTACAACCCTCCAGTGTAGAACCTGTAACACTTCCCCATAAAAGGTTGCATTCTTCAACTAAAATATATTCTTATTCCTAATAGCATTATACAAATATAAACAGAATGTTCCAAGAAGATAGCAGGTGGATTAGTGAATCTTCCACAGAATTTGCAATGTTATGATCTAGTAATTAAAATAGTTATTGCTTATTCGGTTGTTGCTAGGAAAACTCCTAACTGGTTATATTTGGAAGTCCCATATGGGTTTATATAAGAAATGTAGACTATTGTTAATTTTAAATAAGAATTGGGTGTATTTCTTTTTATCTATATCTGTACCAAAGGAAGTCAGAAGCCATTCTTTTTCTTTTTTTTCTTTACCTTTCCCCTTTTTTTCTTTGTACTTTTACCTGATTTTTTTTTTCTTTCTTTCTTTGGTTATTTACTTTTTATTCATGTTTAAATCTGATAAAACTGTTTTTTAAAAAAATTATGCGCAGGATTTCTGGCTGACAAAATATTCTAATTTAGTATAAGCACCTTTTTAACTTAAGCTACAGTGATGAACACATTATATGATATTGAACAGTTCCCCTTTAATGGGTAGTTCCACTCTAGAAAGAGGACAAATAGTATGGCTTTCTCACTGTTATTTTTGTTTTTAATTAGGGTCTTTCTAAACAAGCAACAAATTAAGGAACAAAAGCTAATAATCTATGTACAGATAATACTATACATAAAATTAACCTATAAAAGGCAGAATAAGAAAGAGAGAAGACTCTGAAAAACAGTAGTAGATATTCAACAGAGATGAGTAAAACTCCCCCAGAAATGAAGTGGAGTAACACACCACTATCATAGCAGGTCATTGTCCTCTGAAAAAAGAAATTAAACTGCCCTCAGACATGCAGAAATCCATGTATAATATTTTTAACTTACCCACTATAGTCTGATTATCAAGATGTATGTTTTCAAAAGTCACATGTTTTTCATTATAGCATGTACTATTCTCTTTATTTGTAGCTTTTTCATTGTTAGGAATAGGGGGAACCAATACTGGTATAACCTTTAAATCGAAAGGGAGGGTGCTCGTGTTAGCTCTTTCCTCTGATTTAGAATTGGCTGGATAAAGGGAAAAATAGAGTTACCAATTGATCAATTATCTGTGGTTGATTTTCTTCACTTATACAAATGCACCGTTTCATAAAAATAATTATAAATATTAATAATGATTGAAAACTGGGCAATCGGAATGGGTACAACAGTAGAAAGATTCTCACTGAACATAATAATTAAATCTGGGACATAACTAATTTGTCCAGTATCATTCCTAGAAAATAAATTATGCATTTAGCTGTACATTAGCATGACACAGCTTTCTGTTATTTCAATGTTAATGCACTTCTTTATCTAACAAGTAAAATGGAGTGTTCTACTGAATCATATTAAGTAAAACTCTGAATACACTTGAATGTAAAAAAACCCCCACACTATTTTTAGTGAATAAAAATCCAATTATTTAATATTTCAATTAATTTTGATAATTAAAAAAAACTTTTCAGATTATTTCTAAAGCATGTACAATTATGACTTAGTTTTTTAAAAAAAATAAAAATACAAAGTTAATGCATCAATTTGTAATAATTGGGACTGAAGGACACTCATAAGAAAAATAAGTAAATTAAAAATGTTAGGTACACTTCTCTCACGTTCCCCTTTTTTAACTCATGTTTTCCAGAATGTGACTTCCCCATTCCTTTTAGATGGGCTATGTGGGGAAGTATGGCAAGAAAGATAAAATAGAAAATATTATTTTCTTTTACAGTAATGTATTTATTTAACTGATCGTAAGATCCAAAGTACTCAATTTTAGTATTAAAAGAAACATGACATCATTTCTTTTAATACAGAGTTAAGCTAGTTGTGATCATTATTTTTATATGTAAAACCAAATCAAAAACCATGATTTCAAAACCATAAGAACTTGATTGAAATTTTATGCTAAACAAAACAAAACAAAGTAAAAAATTACACGATGACCTAGCTTGTATGATCCTCAAATACTACACATATTTATAGGCATATCATGTATGCCTATTTTCCAAATAAGTCAAAAAATAAATCTAGAACAAATAATTGTCTGCTACATTTACTTCCTTTATTACTTCTTATGAACCAGAGATAGGTTTGCACCTTAATATTTTATTACTATATTTATGCACAATTTTACATTTCATGCCAAATAAGCCAGGAAAGTATAATGGGAAACCTCTGACAATGCTCGCTGTTTCACTTAAATAAAAAAACCTATTCATATTTCCATTTCTTTAGTTATCTTTTTATTACCCAATTTCAATCAAACTGGCAAATCAAGACTTCCATATAAAATTGTTTTCCTTGTTTGTCATAAAAGTGCCTTTTGAATTCAAGTCAGGTTAGCAAAAAAAATATTAAAACTCACTTGGCATTGATGGCAACTCGGTCTCTGAAGATACTCCAGCATTTTCAGGTGGCTCCTCTTTTGAATTTTGTAATGAAGTCTGCTCTTTTGATGGAAAATATTCAACTGTATTAGATGATGCTTGCACATATTCCACTTCTGTTTTCTGCTCAGAAGAAATGCTACAGTGCAATCCTCCAACACAGTTTCCTTCATATATTTTTTCCAGATGCTGCTTCTCTTTTCCATGATCGGTATTGAAATTGTTTTTAGATGAATCTCCCGAGAGAGTTTTGGATTCATGAGTGGACAAAAATTTGTGCCGATCTATGGTGATTTCTTCATGTTTAATCAGGGTTTCTTGTTCATTGTTACTTTCAACTTCTTCAGCTCTTCTGAGATACTTTTCTATATCAAATGTACTATTTTCTATATTGCTCAATAATAACTGATTGACAACTGAGAAGTCTGTGAGTTTGTCACCTTCTGGAACATTTATTCCTTCTTTATTTTTATTTGAAAGTGCCATTATCAAAGCAGCTAGCTGTGATGGTTCAGCGCTAACAGAAGCATTTGCAATCGCGGATGCAATTGTGCTCACACTCAGGACAGAGGGCTCAAGTTGAAGGTGCTTTCTTTCAAGTTCTCTGTCTCTAGATTGATTCTGAATGGAAAAACAAATGACTCAAATGTTTAATGTTTAAACATTAAAATGTTTGATTCAATTGATCTGAATACTCATCACAATCTTACTCAACCCACTTGTCTATAAAAAGTGACCCAATTATAACTGGACATTATGCACCACAAATGCTGATTGTGCCACATCATATTCCCTCAGAGAAAGTATGTTTTATATTCTAATCTCAACACGAATAACTGTATATTGAAAGAAATGGCAAACCTATTTTAGTAGTTTTATAAAACCAAACCTTTTTTAATCAATACTTTTGCTTTGATTTTGGAAATCTATTTGCATACTTACAGTTCTATTTTCTCTGGACTGCATATCTGATTCACCAACAGCAGAAGTAGCAAATGCAACTTCCTTTTTAATGTTTTCTTTTACATCTCCTAAAGAAATGAACAAAACGGATAAGACAAACAAAAATCCAGGTAATTTAAATAGGTTAGGACATTAGTTAAACTAATAACAGTGAGAAAAGAGGCCCAGCATTTTAAGGAACAAGTGCTGGTCTTTAGTTTTTCATACAGATTTTAAAGCAAACTTTGCAAATAGTGATTGTTGAGGATTCGCCAAACATAATTTCATAAACTATGATTTATGATCACAAAGAATGCTTTACGAACACCTATACTACAAGTAGTCCTCCATGTTTGACCACCATTGGGCCCGAAATCTCAGTTGAGTGAGATACCACATGACCACTTTGCTTAATGACTGCAATCATGGCTCTCCCGGTTACACTTGTCTCTCAGTCCACTGTAGGAATGGATCTCAAATCTGGTGGAATCGATTTTTTTTTAATTTGATTTTATATGCCGCCCTTCTCCGGAGACTCAGGGCGGCTTACAATGCGTTAAGCAATAGCCTTCATACTTTTGTATATTTATACAAAGTCATCTTATTGCCCCCATAATCTGGGTCCTCATTTTGCCTACCTTAGAAAGGATGGAAGGCTGAGTCAACCTTGAGCCTGGTGAGATTTGAACTTGTAGTAATTGCAGGCAGCAGATGTAAGTGGATGTTAATAACAGTGCTTTAGTCTGCTGAGCCACCAGAGCTCAGATTTTCTTACTGTAGACTTTTACAGATGCCAGATTTTAATCATCTACTTTCACCCAAACAAAAAAACCTCACCCAATAAGAAATAAAGCAAATATCTCCATATATGGTAGTAAGTACTCAGTAGATATATTGTGAAGTCCATGAAGTACTTTCTACTGCATATCATAGAGAGGACTATGTAGATTTTAAACCTGAACTTTTTCTATTAGGTAAAGCACCAGAAAAATTTGATAAGCAAAATATATATTTAATATTGCATGTATTAACAGCAGATTATATTTGCACAATATTGGAAAAATGAAGAAATACCACGAGACGAAGAGATAATTAGGAAGATACTGGACTGTGCAAAAACGGATAGACTTACATTGAAAATTAAACAGAAAGAAGATACAGAATATTATCAAACATGGAACTTATTCTACCAGTGGTTGCAAAAAAGGGATGGAGATTAAGAATGTAATCTGTACTGCTAAGCAAATAAAATAACCCAGACAACATGATATTTATTAAGCACTTAACAAAATGCAAACAATACAAAATTAATAAAACTTTTTTTAAAAAAGAAAAAAAAGAGGACTATATCTCTTTCCAATTACTATTGACCTAGATATCTTTTAATGCTAATTTCTGTAAGAAAAGATAGCTCTTTCCCAATTTTTGGAATGACAAATATGAAAAGAACTCCAAGGTCTTCAGAAAGGATATATGTGAAAAAATCTGGACCACTGTCTTCAATTGACAGGTCCTGAAGTGGGTGGAAGCCTTGCTTGAGCTGTACAAAAAAGTCTACATGTACATCCTATGTACTGTATTTCTATAGCAGACAAAGGAGAGCCTGATTCTTGGTGTGTGACCAGTCAGGAGTGGATTAACAGATCAACCTACTAGGATTACGAATGTATTGCTCAAAATTTGAGGTGGCAACAATATCACCTTTGTGAAATGAGAGAAATAACAGAATAATCTCATGAAAACATACTGAATGTGATATAAACCTGTGACCATTTTTATAGCACAATTAAAATTTCTGGATTTTGGAACCAATCCATACCTAATACTAGGGGAACATGCAAACAAGTTAAAAAGAACTGTAAATTTCTTGAGGAGCAACACATTCAATAATGGAGTCTCAGGAATTTCCATCATTAGTCTCTATTCATATTGGAAGCTTACATCTGATTAGGCAAGGAATATAGTGCTGTGCCATAGCTGGGTCTACAAACTGCAAGTAAGGTTGCCTGTCTTACAGAGAGAGCAAAGACTTGCTGAAAAATGTCTGATTTCTCTAATCAGGACTAAAAATGAATAATCCAAGAAACTAGTCTCTCTGAGGTCAGATTAGTATGATTCTTTAGGAAAGGCTTTAGCAACAATTCAAGGTTATCTAACAAATATACTATCTTTTAAATGAAAGATAACTTTGACTATAGACAAAAAAGTGCTTTTTTTCAAGAGGCAACTGGACTTTCTTGTTTTTCTTTGAAGATAGCAATAGCACTTAGACTTATATACTGCTTCACAGTGCTTTACAGCCCTCTCTGTAAAAGATGTTTCACTTCTCATCCAAGAAGCTTCTTAGCTCTGACTGGATGGTGATGAATAGAAGGATTTATACTCCTTCCAAAGGAATATATATAGGAATATTACATGCAACAATAGATAGAATAGCGGTTCTGAAAAAAATATAGTATTGGTGTCCTTTCACTGTTCTTTTTCTAAAGGATCGGGAGGGAGAGATGAGTGGCTGGCACTGCTAGCCTCCATTCATTCCAGTGTCTGAGCCATCCAGCTTCCCAAAGGAGCATTGACAAGCTCACTGCACACCAGGAACAGCACACAGCTCATGCCCAGTAAATCAGCAGCAATAGCACTAATTATGTTTTCCTGAAGGGAATGAAGTTAAGTACTAAAAGAAAATAATCCTAAATCACTGGGACCTAGTATCAATGGTTGACTTCAGCTATCAGAGAAATCTGTGTCCATGGACAGTAAGTTATTATCCATGTGCTTGCTGGCCATGAGAGCCTATAAAACACTAAAATAAAATAATAAAAAATTAAGCAAAATTAAGAATGGGCAAACTACTCTATTTGTTATGGTTATGGGAACAATTAGCCCAACTATTGAACATTTCTGTTTCCTAGAGAAAGACAAGGTTAGAACTGGCTAGAACTGGAGAAAGATGCTATTCCCTTCGCCACACAATAAGTAACATGAGAAAAAATCTAAGCTTTTCCTCCAGGTTTGGTAAAAAGAGATATCTAATACTAGAAAATAAACAGCTATTCAGAATGAAATACAATCAGTACATCTAAACATACAATAAATATTATATTTAAAGTAGAAATTACCTGGACAATTACTAGAAATATTCAAATCCTGTTCACCAAAGTTTGTTGTATATATATCAGATTGCCTCAACAAAGGTATGGGCTGTCTCTTCTTTGGAGAAGTGATATGATAACCAAAAGACGGCTATAAAAAGACACAAAGAAAGCAATACATTTATTGATAAGCTAAACAGTATCAGGAAATGTATGGGCTCAATCTAGCAATATCAAATGTCTCTTGAAGGTTTGTCTTGCTAATAGTCAACTGAAGAAAGTATCCCTAATGAATATTATATCCTGTGTAACAATAGTTTCTATAGATCAATGTCCAATCTTGTCTACAGTAGTTTGCAGATATAGAACTATCAAAGGTTTTTAAATTAAGTTTCCAGAAGCCAAATTGTGATATGTTAAGTATTCTGTCTTGCCTGAAACTCTTCAAATGAATCTTTATTTTTAATAATCTGCCAACAAACTATAATAATTTTAATTGAAAACAATGCAAAAACACCATGTCTCCTGCATATAAAAGCAGCTATATATGTACCCGTTTCACATCACCACTTCCACCAAGGCAACCAAGAGCCTCAGATCTCTGACCAAAGAATTCTCCCAGAGAAAGTCGTAAATAACTTGCATCTCTATTAAAGTCATTTTGAGACTCTCTTAATATATTGTGGTTATTAACTGATTTCCAAGATGCATCTTCTAATCCAGATATATTTTGCACATCCATTTTCTCTTCCTGAAATTATACAAAACACAAAAATATCAAAAATTATCTTTAGGTGTTTAATACAAATATTCTAGAATGTATCTATTTAATGTTGATGTTACCTACCTGCATAAACCTGTGTTCCCTTTCAAATACTTCCTGATCTTGGGCAATCATAGCTATCGCTTCAGCTTTTGAGAAGGGTTGGGAAAGGAATAAGAGAGAGAAAAAAAGAGAATACTTAACATAAAATTAAAGGCAAATTATAACAGAAGCCCAAGGGCTCACTCTAGACTCTAATTTCTTATAACTTCTTATATAAACTTTATGAAAAGAACAGGCATTATTTTCTTTCTACTAAAATAGACTAGAATATCTATACTAGAATATCTATGGTAGATATATGCATTTCTATTAAAATAAATCTGTTAAATAACTGCCAAAGATTTAAGCCATTTGGAATACTGTATCTGTATCATGTTCTCGTAACAAATACTATATGCATTTTGAAAATCTAAAGCACAGTAGTCTCTCCATGTGAACCAGGTTTCCTAGTTGAAGAAGCTATATTAAAATTCATTATTTATTTTTAGAAGCAAATACACCAAGTCATATTATTAAGCATTAGCTTTGTAATTTTGTGATTTTACTTATTTCTTGTAATTCTTGATATTAAGAAATTAATTATTTCAAGTGTGAGCTAGCAAATGGATGCTATTTTAGAATTATAAATTTACTAGTAGGGAATTGTAAAAGAAATAAAAGTATAATCAGACTTACCTCCAGTTATAAAGTCTCCACTTATGTCTGAAACATTGGATTTTTCTTCTTTATCAAATGAGGTATAATATGCAAGATCTGTCACCCATTTACCCTCTTCATTTTGGTATACAACATTATGTGACTGGTCTTCTGAAAAATAAATTTTATGTTGTCTTTAAAATTTCAAGTTAAAAAATTTATATCATATGTGTAAGAATTTACAATTAACGTAAGGAAAGTTTGTATTAAGAGCCCTGGTGGTGTAGTGGTTAGAATGCAGTATTGCAGGCTAACTCTGCCCACAGCAAAGAATTTGATCCTGACAAGCTCAAGGCTAAGTGAGTTTTCCAGCCTTCCAAGGTTGGTGAGGACCCAGATTGTTGGGGGCAATATGCTGAGGTTCTAAACTGCTCAGAAAGTGCTGTAAAGCAATATGGGGTGGTATATAAGTCTAAGTGCTATTGCTATCTACTGGAGAAAAGCAAGAGAAATTAAGAAAGCAAGTAACTGTTGCTTTCAGACAAAATAACAGACAACTGCTATTTTGTCTAAACTATAATACCAAATATTATATTTAAGGTTCAACTGTATTTTTGTTCATTAGCTATTAACAAACTTATCTATGCTAAATGAAATGTATCATCTAAAACTATTTGTTATTTAAATTACAGATTCATAAAGCGCAAAGCACAGCAATTGCTGACAAGGAGTTTCTTAGATTAACAGCCAAAGCAAAATTAAGAAAGTCTAATTTACTCTAGTTGGCATGGCAAGGTGAATGGTGCCAGAACTTTTGAATGACCTAGCATTTTACTAACCTTTCGTTGTATGTTGATCATGTTCAGATTCTTTGCAAATAGTGGGGGACAGATAAACATCAGCTAAAGAAATGTGATTTTCATTAGCCATTTGACACTGGTTGGGAAATTTGATTTGTTGTTCTGTATTCCAGATCTCAGAAGCAGCATTATCCTCAATACATTTAAAGTAGAGTGAATCAAGATTTAGCTCAGAGATGATTTCATTTGTGGCATTCTTTTATGAAAAAGCAAAAATACATAAAAAGGAAAAAAAAGTTGTTTTATGTTTTTAAAATGATCTTTCTTTTCATTATCAAGTAACTGATATATTTCCAGGTTATTTTTTGACACCAAAACAAAACAGAAAAATCCACACTCTTATACAGGTAGTCCTTGACTTACAACAGTTCACTTAGTGACTGTTCAAAATTACAATGGCACTGAAAAAAGTGACTTATGACCGTTTTTCAGTTACAATCTGTGAAGCATCCCCATGATCATTTGATCAAAATTCAGATGCTTGGCAGCAGGTTCATACTTATGACTGTTGCTGTGTCCCAAGGTCACGAGATCATCTTTTGAAACCTCCTGACAAGTGAAGTCAATGGGGAAGCCAGATTCACTTACCAGCTTACTATCAACTGCAGTGATTCACTTAACAACTGTGGAAAGAAAAATCGTAAAATGGGGCAAAACTCACTTAACAAATGTTTCACTTAACAACAAAAAATTTGGGCTCAATTGTGGTCGCAATTTGAGAACTACCTGTATAAAAGACTTTTATTAACTTTGGAATACTTTATCAATGCTCAGATTCTTTGGCTCATGATCACCAGAAACAATTCTGCTTTGTTGGATACTTTTATTTGTAAATAGATTCCATCCACCACTAAATAAAGGAGCAAGAGACCAACCAAAGCTGAACCTCTCAAGCTATCAAGAAAAAGATGTAGTGCTATTAATAGTTATGTATTATTAAGCCAGTCACACAATAAACCTATTGGACAACTTTTACTAGTTGATACTAGTGATTACAAACAAGATAGATAATATAAAGGCATCACACTACCCTTAAAATAATGAAGTGAGATCCTCTTTTGCTTAGGAGATACAGTGCACCAGCTTTTTATTGCTCTTGAGTGAAAAATTAGATGTGAACATGTTCTGATTAAACTACAGCATGCTGCATGATACCCTGGTGATTCTTACTCAGTTTTACAATAGTCCACAATCGGCGACTATAATGGAACCGGCCCATTTCGGTCAGAAGTTGTGACAGCCATTAAGTGAAGCACCTATGTGATTGCCTCAATTATAATCCCACATCCCGGCTCTTTCAGATGCAGTTGTTGCAGTTGCAGATGGGTCATTAGGCTGAGTATAGAGTGCCTCATGGGAGGTCCTGGGACGCCTAGTGCAAGCCCTGTCCTGGGTCTCTCAAGGCATTCTCCCACACTGAGGCACCTCATGCTCTACTTTCTGCCCCTTGTCTCTTCCAACAGACTTTGGACCTACTTCCCAAGCCACAGGGTCCCACACTCTCATTCGATATCACCCATTGTACACTTACCAAAGATATCCAGAGGCTGTGTTAGGGAAGGAGGGGAGACCATTCTGTTCTTGAGCCACAAGGTACAATCCTGGAAAGAGTTACCATTTTGGAGAAGCCAGAATTAAATGCAGCCGCCCCCAAAATGGCTGCATTCAGGATCATGCCACAAAGTCGAATAAAGAGCTCTGGTCTGCTGTGGAGCTTTCCAGAGCTTGGATTAGTGAAGCAAAACAGACCTCTTCATTCCTGGGAACTGGCTGCCATTTTGGAGCAGTTACAATTCAATAAAGCTGTCCCAAAAACGGTGGCTGCTTGCCACCACATGGCCTGGGAATGGAGTGGCCGCCCTCCTTTCCTAACCCAAGCTCTGGAGATCTTCAAAAGATAAGTGTGCAATGGGTGACATGGGGCCTATTGAAGTGCAAAACAGGCCTAATGCCTGGCCCATGGCCTTCAGGAAACCACTAGAGTGATGAGGGGAGATAGGTGAAGGGCCCCGCTGCAGTATCCCTGCGTTTGGTGTTAAGGGTTAACTTCAGGGGTGATATAGTTGCTATAACTTTGAAACTGTATTATAAATCGCTTTTGGGGGATCTGCTATAACTTCGCACAGACGGGTTATAAGTCAAGGAGTATCTGTATTTCATACAGAACTATTTTTGGAGATGTTACAAAACTTTCATTGGTGCTATCCAGTACAATACATGTCATAAAAATATTATGTGCTTATTGTTTTTGAGGTATTAACTGCTTACTTATTGGATGTATTAACTGTTTCCAAAGTCTTTTAATTGTAAAATGTCTTATGGAATTCCTGTTCCAAATGCTTCTCTCTCAAGAGGATTGGCTTTTCTCAGCAATCCTAATGAGATTTATATCTTCCGAGACTTGAGACAACCTTTGGAATAATAGCATATATCCAGTTAAATGATCCCCACAGTAGGTTTACTAGATTCTTTTGTGGCTTGTTAAATAACTAGACTCCTATCATGAAACTAAATAAAAATCTAATCTTCCTAATCTTCTGAATATTTTATTTTGATTTTTAAAATATTTTTATTATGACTAAAACTTTTATGGTTATCTTTTAGGGGCATTTTTAAGTTAGAAAAGCAGTCAAGATGTCTCCCTTTTCCTTCTTGTGTGCAAATGTCATAACTAAATATATGTATGACAATTAAGCAGATATGTTTGGGACAAGATTTACTTTGCAAAATGCAGTAACAAAATGAAGCACAAACTTAGTTTTAAAACCATAAGAGCAAGAATTTTGTATTGAACTTGCACTTGAAATAGATGAGAATTTTTTTGGAAATGCAAAACAACAAAACATCCCTAATAGATAGTCAAAAGAAGATTGCAAATTTTTGCAAGAATTTTTATCAAAAGCAAAAAAACTTAATCAAATAAGCACTCAAAATCTTTTTATACAAGATTTAAAAATTAGTCTATTACAATAAAATTTTAGGACTTACATCCTGAACTTACATTTCTGCCATCTGTAGTAATTTTGAATATTCCATCTTCCCTATCATAGTCATCATAATCTGCAATTATATAAATACAATTTTCAGTTTATTATATATATACATATACATACTGTTTTCCCTACAATAATCCTATGAAATGGGTTGGGCTGAAAGAGTGTGATATATAACTAAAACAATGCTAAATTAGAATTTAAGATACCTTTTGCTCATTTACTTTCCAATTTTAATATATTAATACACAGAAAAGATCTGTGGCTAAATATCAAATAGGTATTTATCAGTGATTTATGGTTATTTGTTTATGGTTAACATTTTTTCATATACATTTTCTAATCTATGAGTCGAAATCTATCTAAGTTTCTGATGTATAGATAACTGGTTTGCACATATTGGGTTTTTTATCTCAGCCTCTAAATTCCCTTTTTACAACCCTGTAGTCTCTGTTCGGGGTAGAGCCTCTCTAAACTAGAAGGCTATGATGCGCCTTGCTGTAGCTTTGGCTTCACTATTGCTGTGTTTTTAGAAGCAAAAGCTGCAATGTACCAATTTTTTAAAATAAATTTAAGCTATTTTTGGGAATAGAACTATATTGCCAGAGTATTGCTTTTCCATTGCCTATAATTATTTTATACCATCAATTTTCAGTTAATGTATAAGTGCTCAACTCAAATTTCTTGCTTAATTAAAAGTAGCCAGTATTTAGAAGGCAAAATATTCCAACAACATTGTGGCCTTAAAACATTTTAGGTTTTCTTTTTAAACTACATAATACATATATCTCATTTTTTTTTACTCTATTTTTATATGTAATAGTGTTTAAAGCTTGCAAAGATACCGCACTGTCTTTTAACTAGGTAATTAGATCAGTAACACACATTAAAAAAACATTAATAAAGTTACAAAGTTAGCTTACCTTCTATCTCTGAACAAATATGTTGAGAATCTGTTTTTCTGCTTTTGATTTCGGAAAGATTTGCTGCTGTTCCCACAGAAAGTTTATCAGAACTCTTACGGTACTCTGATTTAGGATTAAATTTATAGTTTTCATTGTTCTTCCATAGGAAGGAAATAAAAGACAACTTATAATGTATTTAGCGTTAATAAATATATTTACAATTTTCAAAAGTTCATAACTAACAAGTCCCAGCAATATTAAGACTGATTTCCACTAAAAATTTAACTAAGTTTAATTATCCTGTACCTCTTCCCTTGTAACTATGGGCAACTTGAATTGTTCTTCTTGCATGCTGTAATGTTTTTCCTTAACATCATATGATTCTTCATAACTTGCAATAGGAGAATGATTTCTTACTGTTGCTTGATAAACAGTTGGAATCTGAAAATTTTCCTGAAGAAGTTAAAGATTTAAATTTCAACTTTTTAACCAAAATGTCTAATTTAATCTCTAATATTATTTACTTAATGTTAATCATGCTAATTTTAGTTCCACTTTGCACAAATAAAAAATATACTTGACCAAAATTGAAGCCAGTGTAGAAAATATTTCAATTAAAACAAACAACCAGATATTATTACTTCTTATAATTAAGATTGTACTCTAAATCAAGTTGAACTCTCTGAAGTCAGCTATGTTCATTACTATACCTAAATTGCTCTATTTGCCCCAAAGGATTTAAAAACATCTTGAAAATAAAGAGGAAAAAAAAACACTTTTTCAGTGTCATTTTAATTTTGAACGGTTACTAAATGAACTGTTGTAAGTCAAGGACTATCTGAATAGTTCTCCCAAACAGTATACTCTACACATGCCTAGATGAGGATATGTTTTTAAACAGAATGCTTAGCTTACATGTTTCCATACTTCCAGCATCTGATTTACATCCTTTTATAAACCTTCATTTTAGCTTCTTCTTTAAACTACCAACTTTATTGCATCGTTTCAGAAAGCGAAACTGTCAATTTGAAATGTTCAATATTACAGTGACAGATTTTTCATTTAGGGATACCTGTTCTGGAGCTAATTCCATGCTTTTAATATAGTCCCCATGTTCCTCTGCATCTTCAATTTCTGGCAGTACAAGCTGTTCAAAATACGCTTCCAACTGGTCATCACAGAATTCTTCATCTCCAATATCATAATCTAATATGGAAAATAAAGGTTTGCTATTAAACGTTTCATATCACCAGTGATCTCTAGAAGGTTGTTTGTTGTTTTTAATAGTTATGTTATTTAAAATTAGCATTTAGCTGCATGAAAAAACACAATATATGCAATGATCTGTTTGCTGATATGATACATCACCATTAGAAGCAGAAGAAATTCCCCAGATTTTAACTTTTTATCTCATACCTGCAGAACATTCTTCGAGGCTCTCAAAGCTCAGCAATTTCTCATTTTCTATAAATCTGGAAAACCCAGCCACAGAATTGCTGGCTGTTTTACTTGCTATATCATTCTGATCAGGATCTAATGAAGCAAACTGCAAACATTAATTTTAATAAATTATTTGTTTGATAATCTGCAGAACTCTTAGAAATTAGGTCCCAAGAAAAACTCACAAGATGGATAAAATGAGCTTATAATAAAAGTTATTCCATTTAAATCCCACATGGATGGTTAAAAGTAGATTCAAGAAAATTAAAATCCTTAACTGTACACCACATGAATTAGTGGAAAGTATTAAATTTAAAAAATCAAGATTATACAGTTTCAGTAACCAAGATGGAAATTCTGATTTATCAAATATTTGGAATATTTTAAGTGTCAACAAATACATGGTCTATACAGATGTTTTATATAGCAATAGTACTTAGGCTTATATACCATTCCATAGAGCTTTACACAACTATGCAGGTGTTTTATATACCTGAACTTCCAAAAAAATTTCAACAAAGCTTCACACTAAAAGATCTTAAATTATAAAAGAATTATTATCTTATAAATTAGCAACTGATTAAAGAAACACATTACAGATGAGCAATATAACGGATCTTCCAAATATTTGAACTAGGATTAGTTCTGTTTAATTGTTTTATGAATGAACCTGGGAAACAAGTATTGTAGAGTATTAAGAGCACCTATTCAGGCTGATAAAGAATCCAAAGGGAGCTTTCAAAATGCAAGACAATTAAATGGCTTACAATTTAATTGGGCAACAAATACATTTCATAAATTAAAAAATGGACAATTAAATGCAGACTACCTAAATATAAAGCAAGCACTGACCCAGAAATGAGTAACTACAAAAAGATTTGGGGATTATGTTTAGTAACTACCAATTATCAATTTAGGAGCTCCAGCTGTGCTCAGATTTATTAAGATGAAGATTGAAACACTGGGCTAATAAGCATAAGGGCATTGTTATAGAAGATAAAAAGTGGAGAGCAACTTTTGGAATGTTCTATAAAATTGTAGGATACAGTAGTTTTGGATCATCACAGTGTAAATATACAAAAGAAGACAAAAAAAATAATAGCTTGGTTCAATCCTATATTAATTCATGATTCTTTCAATTTTGTCAGAATGTGTTCCTTTTTAATTCCTCAAACTATGGTCAAGAGATTGAGCTGAGCATAATGTACAAACCCAGGCAACCACAGCTAAGAATAACTTCCCAGTTAAACATAGATGACTGGTTGAAGGTATTTTATATTAGAGCACAAGAATCTACAGGTTCTTATCTGTCTTTGTGCTATTGGATGGATAGAAATGTTAATTCCCTCATCTCCTGATATCTGATTGGATATCAGGGAAATAACAAACAGCAGCATTTATCAGGATTGTTGAACTTCCAGGAAAGACCAAAAAAAAAAAGCCTAATTTTTCTTCCATCAATAATATATGAATGTCCTGGCTTCATTTAATAATCCTATACAGTTTCAAAGGACTGTAATGGTATCAAAGTATCTTCTTACAAATCCTATCCTATTCCCATCTTAGTTCATTCACAAAGCCAACATGGATGATTACTATTCACATTTTATTACCACCTGGCAAAAATTTGCAGTTTTAAAATTAAATATCAGTACAGATGAGCATTAACTTTCCAGATCTTTTGTCTATCTAAATAAAAGAATGGTTGACCCGTTCTAATATCCTTCCCCCTAAACTATTAATGAAAAATCTTACATAAGGGTTCTTACAGATTAAAAAAGGAAGCACTCCATTCACATGTGAAATTTTGGTTTAGTGTATTTACCATATAACTTTTACGAAAAAAGTATCTCATAAAATACAAACTGGAGTGTCAAATAATCTGAACAGTGCAAAAATTCCTTAGGCTGATTACAGATATTTGTTTAAATACTGTAATTGTTCAGAAATGGAAAATGAAATTATAGGATGCAAAGGTATATATAGTAAAAGATATATATAGTGCACTTTAACAGAAGGTCGAAAAAAGTTACCTGATTTTCATTTTCTTTTTCCAAGGAAATATATTCTTTAGTTGTCAAATCTGAAAGAAAGAATTTGAATCTAATAAACAGATCCATTAAATGATAAATGACAATCACTTATATTTTAGTAATCAAATTTCTCTTGCATTGCAAGCACATAATATAACCAAGTCTTCCTAATAACATCAGACATGAGTGTTATTTTCGAATTAGAACTTATACATGAATCATCAATAATTCAAAAAAATTTAATAGATTTTACCTTGTTCATGAATTTATTTATAATTCTATCCCCCATTTCTGTCCTGCAAGATGATCCAGGCAGTTAACAAAATAAAACTGATCAATTAAATATGTACAAAAATTAAAATCTAATTATCACAACTATATTATTGGGGAAGTTTACAATTGAATTGTACCTGAAAACATTTGATAGTCTAGGCAAAAATGTTTTATTTCTTAAAAATTTATTCTCCTTTTCAACCCCCTCCATTATTAGCACTTTTTTATCCAAAGATGTGATATTATTCTCTTTTGAGCTGACTGCACTTCTGATTATATGAAGATTCTATCAGTGAATAGTTTTACTATTAATATGTAGAATAAGATAATAAACTAAAGATAGACCTCAACTTACAACCACAACTGAGCCCAGAATTTATGTCGCTAAGTGAAAAATTTGTTAAGTGAATTTTGTCCATTTTATGATTTTTTTTGCCACATTCATGAAGCGAATCACTGAAGTTTTAAAATTAGTAACACAGTTGTTAAGTGAATCTGGGTTTCCATTAACTTTCCTTGTCAGGTCACAAAAGATGGTCACATGACCCCTGGATACTGCAACCATCCTAAGTATGAATCAGTTGTCAAACACCCAAATGTAAATCATGTGACATGTAAATCATGCTACAATGGTCATCAGTGTAAAAAATAGTCATAGGTCACTTTTCTTAAGACACCCCCTTGCGCCATTTTCAGCATGGACGGCCTCCTGCAACACCCAGCCAGCCAAAACAGGGTGCGGGGCGGGGGGGCTGCGTGTGGTGCTGCAGAAGCTGCCCAGGCCCGTCTCCCACCCTCAGCTGGCCCGCAGAGAACCACAATGCTGATCTGGCCCTGGAAATCCAGTTTGATATCCCTGATTTAAGGTCTCCTGCTTGAGGAGAGTTGGACTAGAAGACCTCCAAGGTCCCTTCCAACTATATTATTCTATGTTCTAGTAATAACTTGAAAGCTAGAAATAATTTCTTAATCTCAGTCTATGGAAAACGACTTTAGCTTGAACATTTACCGGTACCTTGTTTTCTCCTCTATATGTTATTCATTACTACAAGCAAGGGTTTTTAAGGATTTATAACTCTTCAATATTTCAATTTACTACAGTATCATTTAACTCTATTTATACAGCTACCAATCTCACATGAAAGTAATTCAACATGAGTAATTCAACCTCAACTTAGAATAATGGAGCTCAGAATTGAGGTTGTAAGTCATTGCAGCTTTAAGTAAAACCAACCTGTGATTGGACTAAATTTTACAATCATTTTTACTATGGTGGTAAAACGAGTCATAAGCAAGTCAATTCTTATAAATGGGTATTTTTTTTGCCAGAAAATACAAAAAACAGAGGAAACCAGAAAAAAAGTTGTAAATTGCAATTGCAGTCACATGACTGCAAGACACCTCAACTGGCTTTAAATATGAGCCGGTTGCCAAGAGACCAAAATGCAATCATGTGACCAAGAAGGGAATAATCATAACTTTGAGGACAGGTCATAAATAGCTTTTCTGAATTCTGTGTTAATAGTCATTAAACAACAAGTCATTAGTTGAGAACTACCTGTATGCAGATGTTGGAGTTTTTACTTTAGAAACAGATATTATTTTCAGATGACTTGATGTTACTTAACTGACAAATAAGAACACAATTACAATTAATACAGCATATATTCATTACACCGTTTTACATATTAGAATAAAACACCATTTTGAGCAGAACTCCAGTAATTTGGTTTGTTGTGGATTTCCTGATAATGTTAAGACTCAACAGATACAACTGAAACTGCATACCTTCTAAATGTTTTTCATGGAAGCTATTTGGATTTTTGTCTAAGCAATCATCAGTAGAGTTTTGGCTTTGTCTTCTCTGCAAAACTTTTTGGGGTGGCTCCAAGATAATCTCAGCAGCATTATCACAGTTTTCCCTGGGAAAATTAGAATTAGGTTTTTAATCATGAATTTAGATTTAAAAAGCTCAAAAAGTACTTTTTAGCTAAATATCAATTTCTTTTTTTAATAATAAATCTGTTTCTTTTTAAATGATAACATTAGTAGCAAAATAATTTAGATAATTAAACTTAGGCAAATATTTGAAAAAAATCAGATTTTAAATACATAAGTGTATTTCTGTCTTTTTAAAATATGTAACCAATCAATTGTTCATATTATCTACTTTCAGAGCTTCAAAAAGAAAATTTAAAGTTGATTTATCACAGAATTGTTTTTCAACTATAAAGTCATTTCTGTCTCAATATACCATATAATTGGATGATAAATATACAATTAAAAAGCCACTTTGCTTAGGAATTACTATATAATCTAGGGAAGGCTGAAATATCACATGTGGAAGAAAATCAAAAGATCACCTAAGACTCGTCCTTAGAGAAAAAAATAAATTTGGCAACCATACTGTATAATAATGATACTCACAAAATTCAGACTAACGTATTAAAATGTTAGAAATATATATTAAAATATTAGCTTATTTATTTGAATTTGAATTTTTAATAAGAAATTTTGACTACAGGTAGTCCTTGATTTACAACCATTCACTTAGTGACAGTTCAAAGTTATAACAGCACTGAAAAAGTGACATGATCATTTTTCACACTTATGACCATTGCAGCATCCTCCTGATCACATGACCAAAATTTAGATGCTTGGCAACTGACTCATGTTTATAACGGTTGCAGCATCCTGGGGTGATGTGATCACCTTTTGCGACCTTCTGACAAGAAAAGTCAACGAGGAAGCCAGATTCATTTAATAACTGTGTTACTAACTTAACAATTGCAGTGAGTCACTTAACAACTGTGGCAAGAAAGGGCATAAAATGGGACAAAATTCACTGAACAAAATACAAAAAACAAAATAACACTTATTTAGCAATGGAAATTTTGAGTTGTTATGGTCATAAGTTGAGGACTATCTGTAGTTTTTTGTGAAACTTATCAAATGCATTTTGAGAATTATGAATAGTGTTAATTTATTCCTAAAATTCTAATCCATAAACAGACATAGGAAATATTGAAGTAGATTCTATTCTTATTAATTATGCCAGAATTATGGAGTTTTGCATCAAAGAATGTACCATTGGTTAATATAAATCTTACACAGTATCGTGAAAGTTAGGCATAAGATTTTTTCTTGGATCTGAATCAAGTTCACCACCACAGGAAGATGCTAATGTGGCCAAAAATTTCCTTTCAATGTAAGAAGCATGATCAGAAAGTCTGCATGAAAAGAAATAAAATAGTTACTTGTCCTTCATGTTCTCAACTTGAAAAAAAATAACTAATTTTTAATAGAAGTATAAAATCATATTAAAAACAGTTGTAGTATAAAGGAGGATAAAAACAATTTTCATTTTTTCCAGCCACAAATTTGATTAGGTATCTGTATTAAAAGATGCCAGCAACTGGAAGACCAATTTATTTATGTATCCAAAAATATGCAAAGTCTGAGAGCTTCACTACAGAATTTTAAGAAATCTAGGGATTATCTAGTTCATGCCACAACTCATATGAGATAGCACTACACACTAAAAAAAATATAGCTGGCTAGTGACTTTTTATCACTAGCAAACCAGTGTATGTGATTAGTTCATGGTTTGGCTTGTGCAAATTTAGGAATTCAATATTACTCAATGGATTAACAAGTTGTTTAAATAGATATCCACTGACACCTTTTGATCCACTGGCAAACTGCTCTTGTTTTTTCATTTAATGTTTAGTCAAGATCTGTTTTTTTCTGAAATTTTCATTCAAAATGACATTCACAATTCAAATTTCATTCACAATTTCCTACTGGAAAAAGAAATACTTTAATTCTATTCCTTTTTTTTTTCATGACAGCCCTTTCACCTCTATGGGTTCCTATGAAATCTCTTACTCTTCCCCAGTCCAAGCGCAGAGTTGTGCTTGTCACTCAGCAAGACACACAAACTAGCAGCCCATTTTAATTTACTACATTTTAGAAATTCAACCTAAACTGTTAGTATCTGATTTACTGCCTTAATGGAGTTGTTTAAACAGACCCTGGTCAAATCAACTCTAAATAAGCATATTGAACAAGACAGCCAGAGTATGCGCCAATGGAATTTTCTAATAGTTCTTGCCAGTTCAATTACATTATTTAACTAGGTTATTAGCATGTTATTATGAATTATATTTTAAGTATTTAGCAGCTGTTAATATTTTATTTGAACTATTTTTCTAAAAAGCCGTATCAAAATAAATAACCACGCCCTTATTTAAAAAACACATTAGGCTAGAATGCAGTACGGTAATTTGTGAGTATGTCATGCAAATGAAAAGAAGTATATTAATAAGATAAACCCTGGTCAAGTTAACAATGGCTAAGCACATTGTACAAATACAGTTCAACATTGCAAAATGAACAGCTAGGTCTGGAAACAATTTAAGATTCAGAAATTAGTAGCCATGAAAAATCTTGCAGTTTTTACACATTCTATTAAGTGCATTACCTGCTTTGAGAACCAGTTTTTTGTCTGGTTTCTGTTGAAGCGGCAACTGGAAGACCAAGATTTGATGAAAGTGTGATATTGTCTAAAATTTCATTGGTATGGTTAGCTATAGAGTTGACCAAAACACTTGGAAATGTCTCATCCCCAATATGTTTGAAATCTTCCATATTACTCTTGTCTCATAGTGTCTGAAAGTTTTAATACAAACATAAACAAGGAAATTTATAATTTTATAAATTTTAAACTTATAATTCTAACATTGCTATGTATTACTTTTCTACTGTACTATATATTTCTGCAACCTAAACTAAAGTAACTCAATAATCAATTATAATTCTGAAAATTACAATTACACTTTACTAATATTAAATATTTTACCAAAGAGGTAACCTTATTTAACTGTTACAGCAACAAAAAAAGGATGGTCAATTCTTTCACAAAACATTATCAGTTTGTTTAATCACCACATGCATTGATTTAATTTTAGCTTTTAATGTTGATTATTATGAACAGTTTGTTTCAGAGTGTTCAGCATCTAAAGGGTGCTAAAAGTGAAGGGGAAAATGTGTTTTTATTAAGATTTTTAAACTAATACAACTGCTGTAGTGCAATTGCCATCAATGACTTGGGTACAGAAAACACCTGAATGTCCTATTCATATTGTACATTTTACATCCTGCTAAACAACTTATTGCCTCCCTAACATTTAGACTTCAATTGCCCCTGGACCCAGCCAACACCTCCAAAGACAACGGAGTGCAAAAATTGTGGTCCAAAACCAAGGGAACAAACTAAACTGTACATACTTGTCTTCTACTAATAAAACATTCAGCTAAAATCTTCAACAATGTTAATTGCATAACACAGGTAGTCCTCGACTTACAACAATTCATTTAGTGACAATTCAAAGTTCCAACAGCACTTAAAGTGACTTATGACCATTTTTCACTCTTATGACCATTGCAGCATCCCCATTGTCACATGATTTATATTCCAAGGCTTCACAACTGACTCACATTTATGACAGTTGCAGTGTTAAGTAGTCATGTGATCACCTTTTGCAACCTTCTGATAAGCAGTCAATAGGGAAACCAGATTCACTTAACAACCATGTTACTAATTTAACAGCTGCAGTGATTTGGTTAACAAACGTGACAAGAAAAGTTGTAAAATGGGGCAAAACTCACTTAACAAATTTCTCAATTAGCAACATAAATTTTGGGCTCAATTGTGGTTATAAGTCGAGGACTACAGGTATCTCACATTTCTGTAAAAGCAAAACTAGTCTTTCTGTTAGAACTTCTAACAATTCATTAAACAAGGGTCTTTTTTATGGCAGGCACATGAAGAAATAAACTGTAGTTCAGAAAAGATCCTTAAAAGCTTTTGTGAACTTATCTATGTCTTCATGTGCCTGCCATAAAAATCCCTTTGTTTAATGAGTTGTACTCAGTTTTGTTTAAAAACTGTATTCTGAGGCAGACAAGAAGATGATCTTGAGGAACACCCAGCTGTTAACAGTAGTTGGATTGTATCATAATTTATCCTAATCTTAATCTTGACAATTTAGGCTCTAGTGACCAGGTCTTCTGCCCCAGTAGGCATAAACAGACCTCCTCAGCAAAGTCTTAGTGTGCAAGTGATTAAAAACATTCTAAGGTGAAGGCTAATCCTTCCCTCCATCTGGTGCTCTCCAGATGCCACAGGTCTTAACTCTCATAGGCTCATTGCCCAACATATCCGGAAAGCAACAGGTTGGGTCCTTCGGTAAGTCTTACGGGGATCAGTGCTGGCGAAAGTTTATCCAATTTACTTCGAGTCAGAAGCGGCACTGGCTCCCTTCAGGTAAGGGAAGGGCACCCAGGTAACTAACACCTGGGATCCTCACAGGTGTTCAAAATCCCGTCCGCCAAAAACACTGCGGACGAGAACCGCAATTTCATCTCCGTCTCCTGGCCAAAAGCTCTTCCCTATCAATGGAGCGAGGCTCCGGCTCTCCGCCCGCTACCTCAGCGCGTCGCCCGCACGCGAAACCGGCTCCTCGAACCGACGGTACCAACGCAGCGAGAGTAGGAAAAAGTGGGGGGGGGAAGGGGGAACTGACTTAACTTCGCCTCCACCCCCCGCCCCCCCACCTTCGCCTTTAGCCGCTTTCGGCACGCGCAGGAAACGAAGCGCTCACCTAATCCCAAACGAAGCGCAAGAGCCAGACCGGGCGCGCGAGCGTCTCGAGGCACGCGGGAAAGCGCTCCAAGGCGTCCCGGAAGTCCTCAAAAATCCCACCACCCTCGAACTCAGAAAAGGAAAATATCCCACCCACCGTCCCCCTTTCCTCCCCTACCCCCGCCCCCGTTTCTTCCCGAAACGATGCGCACGCGCACCTTCTCTTCAAGCCCCTCAGCAAACCCGCTCAGGCTTTCGTTCAAGAAAAAAGGCGGAGATTAGAAACTCAGAGACGCGAAGGCTATTGGATTGTGAGATCACCCAAAGAAGAGAAGGGCTGCGGCCTTTCGATTGGACGAGAGGAAGTGACGCGCTTGCTTTCAAATGGCCCTGCGATAACAAACAAGCTTCAATCCTGAGGAAGCGGTGACCGGTGGATGGTTTGTTAAAACTACGAAAGCACCCTGCGCTCTAATCCCGATTCACGGGAATTTGCCCACAGACACAGATGTCGGGGAGATAATGGAAGTTATACATTTGAAAGCCACGAGTTTGGGCAGTCTAGGGCAAAACACTCTAGGGCAGGGATCCCCAAACTTGGCAGCTTTAAGACTTGTGGACTTCAACTCCCAGAATTCTCCAGCCTAGCTGGGAGTCTAGGTGGGAATTCTGGGAGATGAAGTCCACAAGTCTTAAAGCTGCCAAGTTTGAAGACACCTGCTCTGGAGCAAGATGGAAAAGGCTTCAAATATAGTACATTATTACTCTGCAGGGCCTCGGATTAAAGTTGACTCAGCCTTCCATCCTTCCGAGGTTGGTAAAATGAGGGCCCAGAATGTTCGGGGGCAAGATGCTGACTGTAAACCACTTAGAGAGAGTTGTAAAAGCACTATGAAGCAGTATATAAGTCTAAGTGCTAGTGCTATATATCGCATTGCCTTGTGTAGCAACTAGCAATAGACTTCCAGCAATATAATTAGGGCCCAGTTCCTCAGCTGTTGAGAATAAATCCTTCAGTTTACCTTATAAAGAAAAGAGTGTGGCACACTTGTGTTTTGAAGCTAATCTGTTCTTCAGCCTCTAGGAATATTGTGTGAGATGCACTGTCACCAGGGCAGGGTGTCTGTGTTTTTATTACATTATATTAATTTATTTGATTCTTTTTATTAGATTTGTTTTAAATGAGGTTTTATAGTCTGCAAGCCGCCTTAAGTCACCATGTGCGAATAGGCAGCAATATAAATTCAATAAATAAATAATTCTTTGTATTTTTCCTCCCAGGTATATACACTGGCAGGAGGTCTATGGAGATTCTCAATCATCCAGGTCATGGTTGCGCCAAAAGTGCCTTTTCCTGAAAGGCAACTGGATTTTTTCTTGGTTTTTTTTTCCTTTGAAAACATTTCACTTCTCATCTGAGAAAAAACTTCTGAAAAAATATAACTGAAGAAACTTTTTGGAAGAGAAGCGAAATGTTTTCAAAGGAAAAGAAGTCCAGTTGCCTTTCGGAAAAAGCATCTTTGTGACACTGGCAGGATTCATACTATTGCACACCAGAACAACTAGGCACAAGGAGTTACCCACCCACCCACCCCCGAATGCCATCACTCTGCTAAACAACTAATTCCCACAACTGTCAAACTATTTACTAAGACTATTACTATTATTATTCTCATCCTTCCTATTACCTATCTCCTCCCACTTATGACTATAACCATGTTGCTTGAATTTTTATATTGTTGTTTCCTAGTATGATTTGCTTATTAGTAATCTATGACTGGAAGTATTGTATCTTATGATTCTTGATTAATGTATTTTTCCCCCCTTTTTTTTCATTTCAAATGTAGAGATGCCCATATATTTCTCTCAGGAATGCAAGTATCTGGACAATTACTGGATTGCAGCAAAGAAAGGCTTTTATATCTCTTTGATATTTACCAATTGTCTAAATTAGGGGTGTCAAACTCATAGCCCGGGGCTGGATCTGGCCCACAGGGTGCTTAGATCTGGCCCACAGGCCCACCCATGATGCCTCTGCCAGCAAAAATGGAGCTCGCAAAGACCATTTGTGGCCCCCCAAGTTCTGTTTTCACTGGCAGAGGGTTGGACGCCTTTGTGGCCAAAAACGGAGCTTGGGAGCCCGTACTGGCAGAGTACTTGGGACACCAGAGGTGCCCCCCAACACAAGTGACATGCTGGCCATGCTCACCCTGGCCACACCCACCCCAGCCCCCCGAGGTCAAACACAAACCTGATGCGGCCCTCAATGAAATCAAGTTTGACACCCCTGGTCTAGATTTTTTCTGTCTAATATAGCAGTCCCATTACTCTCATCTGTCACCCCTCTGAATATGAAAGTTTTCTATCACCTCCTGGCAATTTCTTTTTCAAACAAATAAATAATAAACAAAAATAAACAAAACCTTTAGTTAAGGTACACCATCATTTCCCAAATTTTTACTTATACTTTTTAAAGTAAATGAAAACAACACACTACATACTTTCTTGAAGTTTTATTGAGTTATTTTTATATAACTTTAGTGGATATCATTATACAATGAGAACATTTACACAAACAACAAATATTCTTATTTTGTTGTAAGGATGTGTACTTTATTTTTGAAGACTGTTTCAGGAAATTGCTAAAGTTAGAAAAAAGTTAAGGAATCTGATGACCTAAAAGATTCTTATGCTAAAAATGTAGAGTTTTTAATTTACTTCTATACTCCATAGGGAAGTTTTTTCCATCTGTATTTAAATTTAAGAAATTATTTCCAAATAATACAAAGTAAATTACTAACAGATTACAACAAATTGAATGTTTTTAAATGATAAAATACTGTTTCACATAATTTATCCTGAACGCTGTATTAGTTTGTTGAGAGTTAATAGTAGAGAACTAGTTTTTATTATCTGCAGAACTAAGCATAGTAAATTTGAAATATTGTAGTTTGTATTACAGATCATGCCTTTAAAAACCCATTCTGAATTATGGTTGGAAAAAATGTAAAAAAAAAAAAGAACAGCCAAAAGAAATAGATTTTTTAAAGCATGTGAGTTAGGCTTTAATACAGCTTTAAATATGCATCAAACCCCTTCGTGTTCACGTAAGAGCTTAAGAGGTCGAGAAATATATCGTCTGCGAGGGTGAGAATACTGGATATTGGCAGTGTCAGCATCACAAGAGTGCTCTATCAGAGGAGGAAGAGGAGGAGGAGGAGGTGGCGGTGGTGGTAAGAGCTGGGCATAACTGGACCATCTTGATCCAGCCCATGGGGAATCCAGAGGGGGGAAAAAATACCTGAAAACAATTCAGACAGGAACACCACACAGAAGGGAAAAACAGAAAGAATAGTGGTAAATACAAAAACCAGAGAGGAGAGAAACATGCTGGGACAAAATGAAAGAAACAAAATCAAATTCTCAGCTCAAGTTATTATCATTTTTTAAAATCTAGAAACTATTCAGAAGGAAAATTATCATATGAGACAATAGAAAATATGTTACATTCATTGTAAAATGAATATACAGTACTACATGTAAGTTAACTGAACTATTGCATGCCTTCTCATTTATTCCTACAAATCATGCTGTTTTAATACAATTACAGAAAAACAGACACAAATTATATATCCAGATTGGTCTGCTCATTTGCATCCAATTGAGATTATTTCTACTCAGATGAATACATCAAATTTAAAGATAAAAACATAGTTTTACAATGTTAAGATTTTCACAATATACACAGTTGTTCTTTTTCCATTGCAATAACAGTCTGTGTGCTTATATACACCTCTCTGGAAAAAACACAAGATAATCAAAACTTCTGAATTAATGGCTTAAAAGATCATTCCATACTACTTCCTATGACTTACCCGTAATAGAAGAAAACTTTGTAATCTTTACAATCTTTGGAAATGTACATAAATTTACAGAACAGAAAAGTTAGTAAATTTTGAGACAAGACATATTTAAAGCCACACTGACATGCCACTATGTAAAACAAGGCATTAATTGAATGTTTGCCCTAGGACACCACTTCGGTTTATTTCAAGGCAACAACTGCACTGAATAGAGCAAGGTGTAAATACTTGGCAATGCAGGAACTGGTTGGGGTCACAAGATGATAATTCCCATACCAAATTAATAATACCATAGAACAAACATTCATTTGGACTAGATTTCCATCACAAAACCAATAAGATGAAATCTTACTAATTATTGCATGGATTCATGCTACTATTACATGCAATTATCAGGTATGTTCAGATCATTCTTATCAAGACAACAAAAATATGTTACTAATAGTTACTAGTTACTAATAGTTTTGTGATTTTCATCTGAAGTAGTTCTGAAATAATACCAAATTTGATATCAACTCCACAGTTGCCAAATTACAATGTGTCCACACTGTTTATGACTAATTGTATACTACAATCCATTAGCAAAACTAATTGTTTTAGAGTCTATGTGAACACTTCAAAAAGCCAAACAAAGTTAAAATAATCAAAACAATTTAAATGAAAAAGTTACTCCAATTGTTTTACATTAAAGATTTATCTCCTAACAAGCTTAGAATGCAAGGACAATAATCCTCTTTACATTAGTGATTTCCGTCTTTCTCTCGCAACATGTCTTTTTGAGAAATGGAATCCATAAGAGAATCCTGTTACTTTTTTTTTGTTAGATTCCAACAAGATCATACTGTGCTGGCAGTAGAGTACACATATAGCATTTTTTTAAAAAGTGATTTGATTTGCATTTAGTAGTAGACAGATTGCTGGTGTCTTTGGAAGAGGTCAGACGCCGATGGGGAAGGGAAAAAGATCGCTTTCCATTCCTGTGTGCATGCAACAAGCAGTAAAACAGCAAAGTTACTCCAGTTAGCTTGGTATCAGCTGTGCTTTCTGTTAAAAAGGACATAATACAAATGGGGAAAGGAAAATGCATAACAGTTTTAGACACACATGGTTATAAGCACAATAAGAATACTGTAAAGCAGTAGTTGGTAGGTTGATTAATTCTCCAATCACTTTTCAAACATCACTTTTATGTTAAGTAGAAAATAATTACTTTGATCTTCTCACATTAGTAGTGTTACTTGAATTGATTAACAAAGTACCAAAACATTGTGCCATAGAGCCAATAAAGCACCCATCAACTTGTTTTTAAAAGCTAGAATTTACATTCTTGTCATAAAATCTTTAGGAAATAAATTACATGTAGCTGGTTTTATTCTACTTTCAAACTGCTATCAAAAGTAAGATTATTTTCAGGTGATTTTTTTCCCATAAATGTTCTTATTTCTGAACCTGAAATTATTTGAAATGAGACCTTTGCACAATCTTCAGGGGAAATACTGGTATAAACAAGATCTTGTTTAATTTATACTGGTAGTAAGGCTGGTAAGTTTAATAAGCACAAGGACAAAAGGTGAAAATGTATAAGAGTTTTTATTTTTTCTTATTTTCTTATGGAAATATATACAAAATATATTTGCTAGCTATGCTGAATAACTGCAGTCCCAGAAGGTCTTCAGGCTCATAAGCAGTTGTTAGGTACTTTTATTTTTCTCTTTCCTCATGTTTGATCAACCACCATCATTGTGACATACCGTTTCCCCCAAAATAAGACAGCCCCTAATAATAAGCCCAATTGGGCTTTTGAGTGCATGGCAATAAGGCCAAGTGTTTATTTCAGGGTTCAAAAAAATATAAGACAGGATCTTATTTTCGGGGAAACACAGTAATATACCGCAAGGAATCCTATAGTAAAAGTATAGAAATGTTACCATATACCAATTGTTTTATATCTCTTCTGTTTGTCACCTGCCCTTTTCCAAAATCCAATTGTGAAAGCAAATATAAGGAAAATTGTATATATTAGGACAAAAAATTATGAAATAAGAATGTATTTATCTAAAGAAGTACAGCTATATTTTCTGAATGCATAGAAAACTGCCCAGTACCTTGGCTTCATCCAAAAACATATGCTATATTTAACAATACCTTGATTTTATAATCAAGGTATCTCCTCCTGTATTTGTATAAAAATGGCAATAAATCTATCACATATTTGTATTTTAACAATCAATGTAGCTATTATAGCTATATTCCATTCTAATGATAGTCCTAAAAAGTTAGTAAGTCAATGATAATTCATGTATTGAAAGTATTTAAACTAATTGATTCTCAGGTAAAGAACAAAACTGAAGAACGATCCTATTCCCAAACATTTCAAGATAAAGGAATATGGAAACTATGAAGTCAAAGGATCAAGCCACTCCTGCAAGTGGAGAGACATGTTACTACCTGAGATATTGTGGAGTCTTCAAGATCAATTAGCCTTGGTAAATCTTCTCCAAATTTATCCAATGGTCCCTTCAAACCACCCAAGCTATTGGCTATTACATCATCTAATGAATTCCGCATTTAATTATATGTTGTGTGAAGAATTAATTCTTTCATCTGCACTAAATCTCCTTTCAGTTATCCAGCCAGTGTCACTGAATAACCCATTTTAGTGCTTTAGGAGGAAGAGAAACATCTCCCTGCCCATTTCCTCTACATCTTGTATAATTTTACCCACCCTGATCCTGTCCTTCTAAGTTGCCTTTTTTCAAGATAAAGAATCCTAGACCTCCTTTCCTTTACAGTACTTGTTTGAATTGCTTGATCATTTTTGATCACTTTCTACATCTTTTCCAGCCCTGACATTTCATTTCAAACCTCATGGCCCAGAATGCAGCTAGACCATAGATTTGAAGCTAGGTATTAAAAGGCTGGCAAATTTAATTTTCTCTCCCTTCAAGATGTTTAGTATGGATTTTGGTTGAAAGATAGCAAGGTAATTAGTGGTCAATTATAGGAAAATGAGATAATTATTGTAAACAGAAAAAAATAGAGTGAATAGTGCTTCCTATCCCCACCTATTCCAGATTACTGCATATCAGCATTTGAAATAGATGATTGATAAATGAAAGCAAGCTTGTTCATATTTTGTCCATTGTGTATATTAGAACACATCTGGTGCAGCACTAATAGAACAAGCATAACTGAACAACTGAAGTGATTTTTGTAATTAAACAATAATGATAGACATAGTCAAGTTTTTAGTGAGGATAGAATCAGCTATTCAGAGAATTGAGAACTAATAATGTGAAGCTCTCATAAAAAAAAACATACCTGCCAACCGATGTTCCATTGACTGAATTCTGGAGAGTTGAAGTTGCTGTGCCAACAGGAGCATTAAAAACTCCCTGCTGTGTGGAACTAGCATTGACTGGACTTCCATTGCCTTTCAGTATTCCAGTGCACTTCCAGTTATCCATATAATTAGCTAAATGGAAATATACAAATCCCATTTGAATTTTTAGCAAAAAGTTCTACTTACATAGTTACTGTTAATATACAGGCTGCCTGGGAAATGTTGGGAGTTGAATATTGCTATATCAAATATTCAGATTATAATTATCCAATAGAGTAGAAATAATAATTAAATTTGCCATGGGAAAAATCTCAGGCTGATAATTAATGAATTTAGCAATTTACTGAGTTAATGACTCTTAAAATTAAAATGAAATGTAAGAAAATGCTCATAGACTGTAAACAGAAGGTGGAGGCATTGAGCAAGGATTACTGCTGTTGGAAAAGGGATGCTTTTGCCATCATTGGTCTCAGCATGAACTGGCAATCATCTATATCAGGCCCACACAATTGGCCTGCCGGCATTTTTTAAAAGGTCAGTAAATTCACTGTTCCTGCTCCCAAAGATACAGCATGATTGAGATTGGCTACACTAACAGAATCTTGCAAGTCTGACTACATTTCCTTCCCTCCTTTACATTGCAGAAAGTTGTGGGGAAGTCAATCTGAATCCCTTCTTCCTCGAAGCATGCTTTTGCACATATTGTTTTCTTAATATTTTTTTGATAATTTCTCCATGATCATCGCCTTTGCATCTTATGTATCTTTGGATGGACCACAACTCATTAATGAACGCCTCAGGTTGCATTATTATACTATCCAATTCCATTATTTCTAACTTCCGAAGCCAAGATGTTCCACAGAGCAGAGGCTGCTGCAGAAAAAGCTTATCTCCTAGTCCCTGTCAGCCAACATTCTTTGGCTAACAGGATCTGCAGCATTTGATCTTGTTACAGGTAGGAACTCTGGAAAAAGGATGATCCCTCAGGAACCCTGGTCCCAAGCCATGTAGTGCTTTATAGGTATTCACCAGCATCTTGAATTGCACCCGGAAACACACTGCAAAATGTGGCAGCATAGGCAGTTATCTGTGTCCCTAGAATGCCACGTATTGCATCTCTGTTCCATGAGCTGCCATGGTTGCCAATTAGCTTCCAGCTACAATTCAAGGTGCTGATTTTGACCTTCATGGCATGGACCAGATTGAGGGGCTACCTCTTCGTCAATTACATCAGCAGATCCCACCACAGCAGAAGAAATATGTTGTGGGTTCCATCTGCTAAGGAGTTATATCTAGCAGGATACATGAGATGGCATTTCTGCCATTGCCCCTGTTCTGTGTAACATTATCCCCCACTACCCAACCCAAGGTGAGAATGGACTTTTCTCTGCCATCCTTCCAGAAATCTGTCAAAAATTGAATATATCAACAAGCCTGGTGGTCTCAAGGGAATGGTGATCTGCTGAGGTATGTTTGGAACATCCAGTGCTCTTACTTAGCCTTTTTAAAATAATCAGTGTTGTAATTGTACTGTGTTTAAATATTTTATTTTATGATTTTACTGTATGCTTGTGTCGCCTCGATAAGATGAGTGAGTGAGGGAGTGAGGGAGGGAGGGAGGGAGGGAGGGAAGGAAGGAAGGAAGGAAGATGCTTACCCTTCCAAAGCCTTACACATCCATCATCACCTGAAGATGCAAGTACTGTGCCAGTTATATTCCAGCTCACACGCCAGACTTGGGAATTGTGATGATCAAACTGGGCCACTAACTGAACTTCAAATTTTGTCAATCCAGATGAAGTACTCAGTTCTTTTCTATTAAAAAAAGTACACATCCGAATTGTACTTTAGCCTACTCAATACATGCTACTTTTAAAAATATGTTGTTTCATTTTAACATATTAATAATAAATCATTTGAAAAAATCAGAGTAAAACATAGAATAGAACTGCATTTTCCCTTTATGGCCTGCAACAAAATAATTATTAAAGAGCTAATTGCTAAATAATGCTAAATATTAATGCTAAATAATTACTATTGGTAGATTACTAGATTATCTCATCCTTGAGAACAAAGTTATGCACAAATGTTTTATATTAAAGGACTTGCTTGAAAAACTTACCTTAGGGGTTTTAATGTGAATATTCGTACATCTTTGGTAGCTACTGCCAATATATGGAATGATCTTCCAAGGTTTGGAGCAAAGGCAATGTCATGCACAGGATCTGTAACTGTCATAAGGGTTTCTGCTTTTGCATACTTCCTGAGTAACATATAAACAGAGTATTTATTCTCTTATATAACATACCTTACAGTCCAGAGTTTCCTTTTGAAAAACAAAAAGCATTAACCAAATTCTTTCACATAAACTTAATTTTTAATTCTACTCAAGACTTTATGCCAGACTTTATTTTTTTAAGCTGATTCCAATTACTATCAATAGAATAGTGAACAAATCTTAACTAATTTTGGGGACTACATGGAGGACCACTATTTATGAAAGGGCATTTCTTGGCTGTATAGTTAACTAGCCAAGTATCTTCACTGCCATGTATATTTATTTTGGATGTTTCTATTGTTTTTCTGGCTTTAAAATGTTTTTAGTATTTTTTATTTTTTTGAATTGTAAGCTGCCCAGTCATTGACTGAGATGGGTGACTACAGAAATGGAATGGATGAACACTCATATAATTCTATTTGTAGAATTTTTTTATTTGGATTCTCACTATAGCTATACTATAAAACCAAAAACATATCAAGAACTAATGCATGCTAACCATTTAATATATTTCATTCCCCAAATGCCATTTTAGTAATTTTTATTCATACTTCAATGTTTCAGCAATAATTAAAGCTGTTTTTTCCACTCACCTGGTATTTTCATTGTATTCATATATCTGTACTTTAGCCAGTATATTAGGACTACCATCATCACTTCCTACAGCTATCATAGGAGCATGGGCACGAGAACTACAGTTAAAAATGAAATATGCTTAGACAACATTTTTAATAATTAGAACTATAAAAGAATTAATCTAAAACAACTATGGATAATAAAACCAAAATTCTCCCTGTGTTATTCATATCTTAAATTCACATATAAGAATGAAATTCAATGTTTTTTTTTTCTTAGTAGTAGATTTTGATTGAAAATAACTTTCCAGAGCCTCAAAGTCACTTACATCTCTGCTGACTGATCCATCAATTATAAATCCAAATTTTCTTCCAGTTCTAAAATTTCTATACTAAAAACTATAATTTTATATGCCAATTGCAGAAAAAAGATGCATATTAATTAGTTTCAAATTAAGAGAGATTTTTTTTCATGATTCAGTAGTTTTTCTAAATAACTTACCTTGAAGGATTCCAAGAAATACAACTGCAGCTTAATTTACATGAAATTTCATGCTGAAGTGACCACTGACTAAGATTCATAACATCCGGAGCTTCATATATTCTAACAACTCCATCTGCTGAACATGTTGCTAGCATGAGACCCATATGTTTGGGAGCAAATTTGACATCTGTAACTGATGTCCTACTATCAACCAAAGTAGTCCTCTTTACCTAAAAATACAGCAGTTGTAAGAAAATTATTAATAGATTATTAGAAAGTTACAAAGAAAAATATATGATTGCTTAATATTTCAAAATGGCTTATGGAAATATATTGTTCCCAGAAGAGGACAAAAACCGGAGTGCTAGAAACAAAAATGAATATTAAGGGATCTCTTGAAAAATAAAATTCTGATCGATTTTGAAGAAGTAAATTGGGAATCCAGCAGTGGCTTCCTTTTGGCACACAAACTGAATCCCATACCACCACCAGTAGGTCAACCAAGGGGTGCTGGGATAAGGAATGGCAACCAAAAAGGCAGAGATGGGGGAGATATGGACTGAATGCTGCAGCCATAAACATGGACCAAATTTTTACCACATTAATGCAAGAGCACTGCTACAGCTAAAACTTTGAGAACTGGTCATAAACTCAATTCATTCAGCACCACTTAAATGGTTGCTGAACAAATGATTGTTAAGTAACAACCAACTGTGTAAAAACAAAATTCTACTAGGATTTTGGCTTCAATTCTAACTTCTTGCATAAATGAAATAGATGTACAGATCATAGTGATTCATAATGGGATTTTGCAAAGAGAAATATGAAAGAAAATGACAAATATAAAATACATCTGTTAATTTGAATATTTTGTTTGCTAAATTTTACTGTTATCAAGGATATCATAAATTCTAAATATTTCAAACTATCTATTTTTCAACACTTACCCAGTGACTTTGTCCCCGAAGTTTATCATTTGATTCTCCTACTATTTCTTCCCAAACAGCAGCTGTTCTATCAAAAGAGCAAGAAGCCAAGACCTGTCCAAATTCCGGATGAGCCCATGTCACACGCCACACAGATCCACTGTGTGTCTGCAGAATTAAGATAAATTAAAATTACTGTGAATTAATTAGTGCTTTGATCTAACCTTGTTAATTTAGTAGCCACTATTCCTCTATGTTACAAATAAACGCACCGTATTTTTCAGAGTATAAGATGCTCCAGAGTATAAGACGCACATTAGTTTTTGGGGAGGAAAACAAGAGAAAAAAAAATTCTGCCTCTGCCTACCAGCATCCATCGGTATTCATCTGGCTATTTGGTATTCATCTGCCACCGCCACTGCTCTCTGGAACCAGCCGAAAATGTGACGCACGGAGGTCAAAAATGGGGCATGTGGAGGCTGAAAATGCAAGATGCAGAGGCGGCGATCCCCGCAGCCTGGAACAGGTCTAAAACGGGGTGTGCCGAGACCAGAAACGCAACACGCGGAGGTCGAAAATGACCGAAGGGTGGGGGCCAGCGGGTGGGCAGAGCTTCGACAACATTCGGTATACAAGACACACCACAATTTTCACTCACTTTTAGGGGGGAAGTGTGTCTTCTACTCCTAAAAGTACGGTAATTGCAAAAGGAAGAATTGGAACCATCACCTTTATAGCAATAATTAAGCAAAGTGGTGAGCAAATGAGAAAACAAAGATAAAAAGATAGCAATAATAGACTATGCATCTAGGCTATACATAGTCAATGAAACGTAAGCTACATGTTTTATTAAAATACATTATAGGAGACAGAAGAAAGATGTATCAGGGAAGAACACAGGTCTCATACTATGGTAGAGGCTTTTGCCTTCCATAAGCTGGCATGCGAGAGATCCACTAATATCTGAATGCTTAGTTGTATATGGATGCAAGTAAGCAAGGGTAGAATCTTCATGGAGCTAGAAATTCTAGCAATGGCCATATTTTCTATCAGCCAAATCAATGGAAGCTTCTGTTCTAAAGATTCTAAATATGACAAATGTGACCTTATATGGCAAATCCAAGAAAATAAGGTAGACAGCACCATGACTTTGGTGAAGTGAAACATCACAGAGGTTGGCCCAGCATTTAAAACAAAACAACCTGTAATGGGAATAAGCAATATGCCTGTGGCCACTAGCAAACCTGCACACAACCCACAAGGCAGGATCCTTACCTTGTCTGCTTTAGTATCTATAGCACTAAAGAAAAAACAAAGAATACCAATTGGTCTATTGGTAAATGGCCCTATCCCTCATGCAGGCAATATTGTGAAAATGCAAGCTGTAATAATGGCAGCCATGATGTAAATGCTCCTAAAACATATTCTCAAAGTTCTATTTGTATCCACCAGTCCAAAAATTAAGATGGGCAATTTTCAATAACCACAAGCCGAACAGATCACCCAGATCCCAAAAAAAAAAACCACTTTCAGGAATGCAGTTGCACCTAAAAATATAGAGCACCTGAATAGAATCAGGACGGGCCATGCCAGAACTAAGGCAAAACTGTTTAAGTGGGGAATAGACAAGAGCCCACAATATGACTGGGGTGCACTGGAACAAACTATAACACATACAGTCCTCCTCAGGAAATTTCAAGACACCTGGGATGACCTCACTGCAGTCACACCAGAAGCAGTAAATCTTTCTTAGATATTGAATTATCCCATTGCAATTCTATGGCGATTTTATTATTGTTTTATCTTAATTTAATATCTTATCTCCTATATTGAATTGTTCACATATCTTACATAGGTAAGTCCTCGACTTAAAACAGTTCATTTCATGACTGTTCAAAGTTACAAAGGCACAGAAAAAATGACTTATGGCCATTTTTCATATTTACGACAGTTGCAGCATCCCCATGGTCTCACAATAAAAATTCAGAAGCTGGGCAACTGACTCATATTTATGATAGTTAGAGAGTCCCAGGGTCATTTCATCACCTTTTAGGACCCTCTGACAAGCAAAGTCAGCGGGGAAGCCAGCTTCACTTAACAACCATGTTACTAACTTAACAGTGATTCACTTAACAAATGTGGCAAAAAAGTTCATAAAATGGGGAAAAGCTCCCTTAACAAATGTCTCACAACAGAAATTTTGGGCTCAATTGTGGTTATAAGTCAGGTGTGTCAAATTCAATTTCATTGAGGGCCGCATCAGGGTTGTGTTTGACCCCGGGGGAATGGGGGGCTATGCACATGGCCAAGGTGGGTGTGGTCAGCTCAACATCACCTGTGTCGGGGGCACCTGTGGTGGCCCAAGCGCTCTGCCAGCAAAAACAGAGCTTGGGAGGCTGCACGTGGCCCTTCCGAGTTCTGGTTTAACTGGCAGAGTTACCATGGGCCAGTCCTTCGCTGTTTCCAGAGCGGCTCCATGGGCCAGATCTAAACACCCTGCAGGTCGGATCCAGCTTTGAGTTTGACATCCTTGTTATAAGTACAGGAATCCCTGTATATATTTGTTGATGCTTTATTTAAACCATATTTGTATATCAGTGATTGCATGATTTCTGTAGATAAAAAGGTTCCCCTCGCAGATATGTGCTAGTTGTTCCCGACTCTAGGGGGCGATGCTCATCTCCATTTCAGAGCCGAAGAAATTAATAAGTCCAAAAATTCTGCATCCGTTTTTAATATTATCCCAAAAAACTGCAATCCTAAACACATTTACAAAGATGTGAGTTCTATGTGAGTATTGCAGCTGCAAAAATGTGGATGTACGAGATGACACCAAAGAGCCTTGGTGGCACAGCAGACTAAAGTGCTGTTAAGTAGCACCAGCTGCCTGCAATTACTGCAAGTTCAAATCTCACCAGGCTCAAGGTTGACTCAGCCTTCCATCCTTTCGAGGTAGGTAAAATGAGGACCCGGATTGTGGGGGCAATAAGCTGACTTTGTTTAAAAAAGAACACCGCTTGGGGGGGCCGAAAGCCCTACTAAGCAGGTATATACAAAAGTATGAAAGCTATTGCTTAATACATTGTAAGCCGTCCTGAGTCTCCGGAGAAGGGCGGCATATAAATCGAATCAATAAATAAAATAAATAAGTGTTGAGTGTTTATGTATCTCTTTGTTTCCTTCTTCTGACCCTCCAGATTTTGCAGGTCAGATCTAGCAGTCCTAGTCCCACTGAGAACAAAGAAAATTACCTTTAGGTACGCATTAACAGGATTTTAGAACGCATTGTTTCCCTTTATTAAGGTTTTACATGTCAACTAATATTCTATATAACACTAAATTATTTTAGATTCAAATTCTTACCTTCCAACTGGCAGTACAATGCCATTCTCCATTTTCACCTTTGTCCCAAACCTAGTAAGGCAAACATATCTCATTTAAAATGAAGACATATATGATTCTTCATAACAGTTCTTGTAGAAAATCTTATCAGAAAAAGACTCCTTAAGCACTCCAACTAGATCCCAGGTCACATATAAGACAAATAAGCAGCTGCATATATTCTTAATAAGTACAAAAAGTTTTTCCTTCCAAACAAACAATCTTTGATTAAGAAGTAAATCAAACAATATCTAGCCATATTCGGCTTCATAATAATTCTGCAACTATTTAACTACAGCATTTGTAGTTAAACTACATTACATTAACTACATTAATTTGTGGCTATTTAAACCTCTCCAATTACAAAAATGAATTTGGGTTTCTGGTCACGGGAACATTTTGTGACTTACTTTTGTTTTGTTACCTCAAAAATCTCTTTGAACTAAGGACATAAAAGATACCATTAGGGTTTGTTAGGTAGCATATTACACTAAGGAAAGAATAAGACTATTTAACTTCTGATTTTTATGTAAGATTTGAGGTTTACCATTCCATTTGAACTTGCAAAAACAGACTTTGAAATAAAAATGCATTCAAATTCCAATGACCATAAGTACATGGGAACTGCAAGGGAGAGCATGGTTAGTGTAAGGGGATAAAATGTCAATGTACAATTCTTATTAATCATTCCCTTTACCTTTAGTGCAATAGAAGGTTAATATATTACACTAAGATGCGGTTTGCTTAACACTAGGGTACTATAGTAAATCACAGTTGGTAAGATTCAAACCTACTACTAAGCCACGAACAGTGGCTTCCAATTCAAACAGCAAAGGTTGGCTTCGTGCAATGTACCAAACCTAAATGCCATCAGTTTAGCATGTTGTGCAAACCCAGCCAAAGTGGGTCTCTCCTCTACTTATTGACATGCTGACCGGAATCGTGGTTCTCAACGTTAAGAATCCCGTTATCCTATTCACAGCAATTGCATTTTCTACCAAACCCAGTTGGGGCGAAAGGACCCCGTAGGAAAACTGCGACTAGACTGAACGAGCATGTTGACTGACTCATCTTCCTAAATTAATTTATAGATAGATAGATAGATAGATAGATAGATAGATAGATAGATAGATATAGATATAGATATAGATATAGATATAGATATAGATATAGATATAGATATAGATATAGACATAGACATAGATATAGTATAGGGTTTCGCCCCGAGCCTTCCCCACACCTTAACACTCTGGTCACTAGAGCAAGTGGCCATGCGCCGTCCATGGAAGTCAAAAGAAACATCGTGGATGAGGTCGCGGTGATCAGCTGCGATGCTTCGCGCCACGAACATCCCGGCGGCTTCGCCGTCTCGGTCAAAAAAACGTTTCTTTCCTCAGCAAAATCAGCGAATCCTTCTTTCTCCGCCTCCCTCCACGAAATTGAATGCTCTTTCGCGCAGCTCAAACAGGCGCGCCCGGCCTCCCACAATTACGTTAAGCGTCGAGCTTTCGCCAAAAGAAAGCGACGAGTCGCTTTCGTCACTAGCGCATGCACTCTTTCCCCTTAGTGTGCTCGACTAAGGAGAACTACGGAGGCGTGGACTTCCAACCCCAGAATTCCCTAGTCCCAATCTCGGAATTCTGGGAGTTGAAGTCCAGGCGTCTTAAAATACTGCCTCAAACGGAAAGAGACACAGCCCCGGAAGTTTACGAGAGAAATTTAGCAGAAGTCGAAGTTCTGGTCAAATCGATAAAGCACGTGAAATATGGGCCGGTAGGGAATGAAGACTGTGGAGTAGGCCTCTAAAAAGCAGTGAATGCCCTTATATTTATTATGTGGCTGAATTAAAGCTGAAAGGATGACCCGCTATGGATATGCGTGGGGGCAAAAAAAAGTTGATACTACATGGATATATGATTGGTACGCGGAATGTCAAAACTTTGAATCCAGAAAAATTGGATGTTGTCAGAGGGGAAATATCGTGACAAACATTGGCATTTTGGGAGACCTGAAAGAGACATTACAACGACAACCAAGGTTATGGTTTTCTCATGTAACATATGCCTGTGAAAGCTGACCCTTCAGAAAGATGAAAGAAAATATGCCTTTGAATGTGGTGCTGGAGAAATTGTTGAAAAAAAATGCTAGGACTCAAGATTTCAGAAGTGACTGAATGGCACGCAAAACGGTTTACAAACAATATAAAACTATGCCGTTTGTAAAGCAAAAAATCATTCGCCCACCATCAGACTTAAGTTTTAAATGTATACTGTCAAAGATTCAGTTCTTAGGTCTGTTGGTTTTTAGAAAAATCAGCCCAAAAAGCCTGATAATGATTCAACGTATCGGGTTAAGCTATATATTGCTTATAGTTTACCAAATAAGTTATGCGCTCGTGCAACATCTTAAGCCATAAACCAACGTTTACAAGCCACTATATTTGCGTTCACACAATTCAATTTATCCCCAAATTACCACATTATTCATAATTCACAAACTCTGGTCGTTGTAATGCGAATGGTGTAATGGTCCGTTTCACACCTTGAACCTAGCTTAGCTGTGCTTCAATAAACCACAATTCAATCGGAGTTTAGCTCGACGCAAAAACCCAGCCCTCGAAATCAACCCACTCCGGGAATTTCCCCACACAAAGCGACCAATGACCCAATCCCAGGTTCACATTCTCTCGTCCCCCCTCCTCTCCGACAGAGGGCGGAGTTTAGCGCTAATCCAATAGGCGGCCCATGCGCATGCGTCCCGCTCCAGAGGAGCCCGCTGAGTACGTGCGCGGTGCGGAAGCTCGTTGAAGGTAACGCGAGCGGCGGAGGGGGCGGGCTCGCCGTCCTCGCCCTGTCAGCAGCGGGAGGTAGGTGATGAAGTTGCCGATTGCCAGCGGCTCTCCTCCAACCTTCTGGCTATCGCCGCCATTATGTCCGTCAGCGCCACGATAGAGGAGGAATTCCAGGAGGTCGACGACGCTAATGACTGGCAGCCCCGCTACTTGGTGAGTGAGGGTGGGGCCGCGGGGGGGAGGGAAAGTTTAGGAACCCCCGGAGGCCGCTTCAAACGGAAGAGGAGAAGAAACCGCCGGGCCCCGACGGGCATTCTCAGGTACGCGCAGAGGCTCGGGGTGAGGAGTGCGCATGTCGGGAATTTCAGGAGGGGGCCGTGAGGAGAAGCGAGAAGCACTGAGGGCCGAAAGGGAAGCGAGCGAAAGGCTTCTAACGACGCGCCTTCCGTCGCCAGTTTAAGCGGCGGGGAGAGGCAAAGGGTTCAGGGGGCGAGGAAGTTACGCAAAGCTGAGCACCTCCCGCTGGTTTGTTCCCACGTGGTTGTCTTGCGGGACACTCTGGATACCAGCTTCTTGGGCTCCTGAACTTCACTCTTGAACCGAATACAGGCAGTCCTCGATTTACGACCCCGATTGACCCCCCCCCCCCCGGATTTATGTTGCTAAGCGAGACATTTGTATCCCCCACCACCCGTTTTACGACTTTTCTTGCCACATTTGTTAAGTGAATCGCAGCTGTTAAAATTAGTGACATGGTTGTTAAGTGAATCTGGCTTTGCTTGTCAGAAGGGACACTGCAACCATCATAAATATGAACCAGTTGTCAAGCATCTGAGTATAAATCACGTGACCGGGAGGGGGGGATGAGGCAACGGACATAAATATGAAAAATGATCGTAAGTCACTTTTTTTCAATGCTGTTGTGACTTGAAACGGTCACTAAATGAACTGTTGTAAGTCAAGGACTACCTGTATTTTAACGGGGAATGGGCCATCTAAGAAAAGGTTATTATTATTGCCCTTGAGGACAATTGCAAGTGATCGTAATGTGATGTGATTGTCATATGGTGAAGTGTATTTTATGCTCAGTGTTGAGATACCCAGGTTAGAGCAAACTGCCTTGATTGCTTTCCAGATGCTTTAGTCAACCTTAATCCTAGTTTATGTGAAGGAATTGTTGGTTAGGGTTAGCATGGAATGAGTTTGTTTAAAACTGGAATTAGTTCGCTGTAAAGTTGCTTCTTATAACATTAGGGTGTTCAAAAACAGCAGATGTATGCATTTGCTTGTAGATTTCAATTAGATCCTATTGAATGGACACAAGAATAGCTAAATATCGAAATAACAACTTTCCTAAGCTTGTATGGCAGACTTATCACTGAAGTTGGATTATGAAACCAGTATCATCTTAGAGTCAATATTTATGCCTATTTAATACTAATAAGAAAAGGCTTTATGTCCTCACAAGAATAATTGGTTGATACTAGAGTTAGTTGTTAGATTTAACAGTTAAACAGATTTAACTGTTCACTAAAGTATTTTTTTAAAGGAATAAAAAACTTCCTCTTTTCATAGAATTTCGGGAAAGAGGTTGTACAGGATGCAGGCATGACCCTAAATGTTAAGCATACAAACATTGAATCTTCATGTCTGTACAAGGCTAAGGACAAGAATATTCCCCAAAAGCTGAATAGAAATGAACTGCTGGAATAGTATTAAAAAATAATACATTTACAATTGAATAGTTGCCTAAACATTTCCAGAGAGACATCTGTATTGTATTTATATCTAGAAATGGTTCCTAGCATAAGGGTACTCATTGTGTGTACATAGGATAATTATCCATATTTGTAAGTATTCAAGTTTTGATTGAATTACCACTTTTTAATCTTACTGCTTACATTGCACATGTAATTGGAGAAAAAAAAGTATTAGTATTGAAGGTGTAATGCTTTTGTTAGAAAAATTCTCAAAGTCCTTTAAGAGTCTTGTAGGAATAGAATTGACAGTGTGTTATATACTAGTTACTAGTTATAGTTCTTGGCAGTTGGACATGCTAGCTGGAGGTTGTGAAGTTATAGTTCTAAATGACAACTGAGTATTACCTATCTCTGTTGGAAGATTGCAAATACAAATCAGAAAAGATGAATTGGTATCTTCCAGTCAGAACTGTGATAGGTAACTTGTTTGATGGTAATATTAAAGTGAACACCAGCAGAAATAGTACTAAAGATGACTTTTAATTCAATTTGAGTTTTTGATGTAAAATATCAAAAAATTCTAGGAAATATTCTGTTTCAACTAACCATTAGGAGAATCAAGTGAATATTATTTGAATTATTTAATGCCCTAATCAATAGGTTTTTAATTGACTTGGGTACACAGTAAACCTTTTATGCTCAAGGTTACTGGCACCTTTTTAGCATAGTAAAAATATAGCTTACCCTGTTTTTAATAGAGTCCCATTGTGTAACTTTCTAGTTTCACAATTAATGTGACGAATTTTTACTGCTACGCTTTGCTCCTCCCTGGGGCTTTATATCACCAGGTGCTGAGCCACAGACTGATAGGAACTGAAATGTCAAACTGAAATTGGTTTCAGTTTTATAGATAAATATCAATGCTAGTACTTGAAGCACACCATTTTTATGGGTTCTTTTTTTTAAAGTATTAGATGTTGTCTCTTTTAACCAAAAGTCTGACAGCAGCTGAGATGGTAAAAAATTTCCTAAAATGGTTGCAATTTGCAATTTGTGAAATACCACAATTGTGCAAGCATAATAAAAATGTGACTGCCATGCACGCAATCCTGCCTATTTGTATACTCAATATAATATGATTTTAAGTAATTTAGAGATCTTATTTGAAATTAGCTATTTTTCATTGGTAAATAAGCAAAGTGTTTTTAGTTGGGTTTCATGAACTCTTGTGTTAGGAATTTTACTTAACTAGATTATTGAATGTTATGTTAAGAAATTTAGCATATGAGCAGAAGAAGAGATGAAAGAAATTTCTTATGCAGGAAAATCCCTCCCTGGACAAAATTGTAATTATAATGCTCAATAATGATGTGTGTTAAACTGGACATGTATAACTGACTTAACAATTAGATTGGGGACTTGAAATTATAATTAGCCATAAAATTCTTTTATTCAGTTTTAATAATTTGTATTACAGCTATTTGAATTTAGAACCACCTTAGAAGCTAAGCATGATTTTGAAGTTGTAACTTTTGGAATCTGAATGAAATTGTCAAACTCCATTGAGAATCAGTATCTGTATTTTCATATGCCCCCCTGTCATTAACTGAACCATGTTTTAGCTCATTCAATTTTTAATTTCATGCACTGGCCACGCCCACACCTGGTTAAACGAAGGGGGGGAGGTCCTGATACGTCAGGTGACGACAACGTGAGTTTGACACCCCTGCCTTAGAAAATACGGATTGAATTCTTAGGCTGGTAGGAAAAATTAAGTTATTTTTATCACTCTGGTATGAGTCTTAAGTCAACATATCTCTATATGAATAGCCAAGGGTTGATTTTACATCTCTGTTTAAGCTTTCTGCTATAATTATATAATGTTTTCTGAGATAAGGTTTGCCTTGTTAGATCAGAACAAAAGACTCCCGAATTGTGAACTGTCTCAAATAATTATCTGCATAGTGTTCTTATTGAAATCAAGCATAGATAATTAAGAGTACTTTTATGTCTTTAGTAATTAGCAGTATATTACCCCCGCCATTTCATTTTAGTTACTATTATGAATATTCATTCAATGATATAATGTTTATACTTCTC